GGAATAAATTAAATATAATGAAAATTTAAAGGAATAACTAACGTATTTTAGTCTTATTCAACCATAAAATTTCTGCAAGGACAATGGAAAGCTGTAGGCTCAAAGTTGCTTGCATTAAGTCGTGGGGTTGTGGGTGATTGATGATTTAAAAGGGATGATAGAATCCACGTGGTTCCAGCACGAACACTTGTGATTTATTAGATATTTTCAGATATCCACCTGGACTGACTATGAAAAAGGCATCAACAAGATGTGAGGTGTCAAACATTAGCAAGCAGCCGAGCTAAACCATCATTTCTACATTAGGTCTTGAATCTATCTGAACTCCTCTCTCCATACAACGAAACGCGTCAGTTTATCGCATCCTGCTATAAGGAAGGATGAATGGCCCTTCTCGCCATCTGGAAGTTCTAAACTTAATCTAAAAAAACTTTCATTTGGAACTTAATTCACTTAAGTTAAATTTAACATTTTATTCATCAAAAATAAAAAAAAAACTATGAAATTGAGAATTCTCTCTAAGTATATGCCGGCATATAAATAAATTAACTTATCCCTAAGTTTGAATTCCTTCGAATTAAGGCTTAAGAAAGCCAATTTAATACACAACAGCTCTTCCGTATACGTAATCATAGTGAAAAGTATTACACCAGTCGATTTATATAATATGTAAACTCTAATATAATAATTTTAAAAGTTAATTCATTCATTATCATCTAAAATAATTTAGAGTTATAATTAAGTGATTTATATCAAAATCATTATGTTCTTGATGATACTATTCTTTTAAAAAGTAATTTTTTCTTTAAAGACGTGCCGTTGCAACATGGTGACAGTGGCTCATAGCTAACATTTCATTTTATACTTCTTAATCGTTTTTTTATCTAATATAATGCATTAAAGGCATAAATTTTTATTTTATATAATATTAAAGCATAAATTTTTATTTATATTAAAATAATACAATTGGTTAATTTGTATTAAATTTTACTGTATAAGTTATTTGCAATGTTATTTCTTATGTACTTAATTCTATTTTTATATAATAAAGTTGTCTTAAAATAAAATTCAATCCAATCCATATACCTAATCCTTCAATCACTAATTTATAAATACAGATTCTTAAAACCCTGATAGGTGCTCAAAAAGAAAATCAAGTTATCACTCGATTCATAACCTTTGCCATCAATCCTAAATCAATAATCTATATACAGCTATAATGAAAATTAATAATAAAATTTTTTTACTGACATGTAAAAGAAAAGAAATGAGAAGATGATTTGAATTAACAATGGTAATCATTTTGGCTATAATGATAATATTACAAAGTAAAAAAAAATGAAAATTAAAATTGATTTTGATGGAAAAAAATAAATAAAACAAAGTCAATAAATGAAAATTACAAAGTAAATCATGCTAGAATCCAATATTGATCGGTTAATGAGTTTATTTAAATATTTTGTTTCTCTATTGTTCTAAGTTGCAAATTTAAAATAAATAAATAACCTAAATAAGTAATAAAAAAAATTACATAAAAGAAACGTTGTATCATCTCCAAATAAACTCATAATTTTTCATACAGCCATAAAAAAAGAGTATACTTTTTTTCTTTTTTATTATATATATTTATTTATCTAAAAAATAATTTTTAGAAATTATATCCAATCAAATAATAAAATGCAATTTTCTTTTGTCTTAACACAGGTATTCCGAGCCTACTGGACTAGAGAATTAAATCCTGCTTGTATCAGGTCAGCCCAAAAAGAGATAAAGTGCTTCCAGTGAATATTTGCTCCATACACAAGGATTGAACCCCCAACCTCATCTAAGGGAGAAAAGTATCGAACTATTCATCCAAAAACTCGTTAGTATAAAATGTAATTTTCGAATTAGCTACGACTAAAGCTATTTTAGGATATTCTAAATTTTATTAATGACAGATATAGAAAATCTCATTATTCATCTTATTCCCATATTTATATATAGTATAGATAAATAGTATAGAAGTATAGAAAGGTTGTTTAAAATGTAAAATAATAAATAAAGTAAGCTCTAATTATTAATTATTACCCATGTTTCATAATATTTTTCAGATTTGAGAATATAATTTATTTCAAAATATTTGTCACATTTGTGGTTTCAAGGAATAATAAATGTTTTTTTTCTATGTTTTCCTTTTGTATATGACCAATAATTATTACTTCAATTTAATGGTTTTCTTGGAGACTTAATGTAACACCCCTTCCCGGTCCACCCGTAAACCCGAATGAACCGGACCGAGACGCTACAAACTGGTTGACTGTATGGCCTAGACGTAAAACTGGTTTGACTGTATGGCCCTGACATGGCTGAATCATAAATGTTATGTTGAATATAATAGCATGCTGATGTTGTATTACAAAAATATGTAATTATATTTACAAAACTATCGATACTAGTGTCAAAATGAAATGGCCAAACCTGTGTGCCCTGTACATGCCATGAAAAGGATAGACAAAAGATTACACATCCAAATGAGTAGCCTTACCCTGAAGACTGAGTCTTTTCTACAGTGAACTGCAGCATGTTTTGTAATACCGATCCTCCTATGGTCCCAAACTCAGAGCTGCGAGTTAAACAGGTAACGATCGCTGAGCAACTAAGCTCAGTGGATATGCTCAACATATAAAGAAACAATTTAGCACAATACATGTTATAGAAAGAACCATGTAAAACACATATGGGCACATTATAAGCCACCACATCATGATACTTTTCATGATACCTTAATTATCTTTTGTACTGTTTATAATACTGTATAATTCATGAATGTTATGTCAAGATTATCTGTATGGCTCATAAGGTTATGTGAAACCGAAGTGATAAGAAAAACTGTATGAAACTGGATGAATACTGTATGCCTTGGGCTGCTAATGGCCATATTAATTCATATCCACGCTCAAATCGGCCTGTAGCCGGAGTATCAAACTGTATGAGGTGCAGATCTGCTTATCCCTACTTGTCGCGACATTAGCCTTATCTAACATGGTTTCCCTACCCTAACCTCAATGGAAGCATAATGTTTGGTACGTCCAATAATATAACTCAACATCAATAGTTAATAGTTTCATAACTTTCAATATTCATAATGTATATTTTGATTTCACATCATTTGCATGCCCTTGCATGTTGTTTTTGATACATGTTCTAATGTTGTACTTTTGGTGTTAAAATGAATTGGAGGCAATATTAGTGAAGCAAAGGAATACATTGCATTGGAAAATGAAGGTCCAGAAAAGTGCATGAAAACAAAGGTCGCGAGCGCGCTTTGCAAAAGTCGCGAGCGCGTAGAAGTGCAAATGAGAGACAGTGAGGTTTCAGGCCAATTTTCGGGAAGGCGCGCGATGAAAAGGTCGGATCCGCTTACAGGGCCAAGGGCCAAGTACGCGAGCGCGAGAAGTGCCAAATGAAGAGTCAAGAGAGTTTTAAAGGTGAAGTCGCGAGCGCGCATTTGAAAATCACAGAGCGCGAGAAGGGCACGCGACTCGTCATGCGATTCGCTCGCTGGAGCGCGCTGTCGCGTTTTCCCCCAGCGCTGCAACAGTCTGTACTTCTTTTGGTCATATCTTCTTCAATATAACAACTCCCCGATTTGGATATGATTCAAAAACCCATTGGATGATTCAAAAACCCATGTAAAGCTAACACATAGAGTAACAAATAACTCTTCTATGACACTTCCTAATTCCATCACTAAATGGGGTCAAAAGCAAGATGAAGTTACTGGTAAAATTTCCAGCAAGCCCTATTTCAACATAAACTCAATATTTACTTCATTTATCCAATACCTCCCCTGTTCTCCCCTGTTTTCTCACCAATACCAGTCCTCCCACTCAACATAAAGCAATATGGTCTCATGAGCAACACACCACACAAATTCTCATGCAAGAAAATGGTAAAGGAAAAGAGATATCAAACCTTTACTCCACAAGCTTGAGCTCCTCTTTAACTTCTTTTTTCTACACTTTTTGAACTCCCTTCACCTATAAATAAGAATTCTTATGAATTCTAATATCATATTCAATTATGAACTTCAAGAAGGTTTACTTACTTGGATAGAAGAAAAAGTGAAGTTAAGGCTTAACTACCATTAAAATTGGGGTGGAAGAGGAAAGGAAGAAAATGAAGAAGATGAAGATAAAGATGAAAATGGGAAAGTGAAAGATGAAAAATGGGAAAGTGAAATGGGTATGCACGGGTAGGCTATCAAAAATCAAAGGATTTTATGTAAAACTTCCTAACTGGTACCTCAATTGTTAATAGGCTACAACTTAATACCCAAGCTTGATCTTTTTCTCTCACTCAAATAAGTCCACTTATAATCTCATTCTACCCCAACTGGGTTTGGTTCAACTCGACTCAACTCGACTACTCAACTCTATGCTAAGACTCGACTCGGAGTAGGACGTCACAAGCTCATAAACATTAAGAACATTAAAAAGAACACAAAATATTCTTTTTAGTCATGCACAACTGGACAAAGGAGTCGATCTACTTCAGCTACCCTGATACAATAAACCCATTTTACCCCAACCGGGTTTGGTTCAACTCGACTCAACTCGACTACTCAACTCTATGCTAAGACTCGACTCGGTAGGATGTCACACTTAATATTAAATTAAGGGTAATATAGTCGATTTATTTGTTGTAACTTAAACACATTTAATGATTTTTTTAAAGAATGTAAAATTACAAATGTGACACATGTGACAAGTATTATAGAACAGAAGTAGTAACAAGTAAGTTAAAAACTAATACAATACAATTAAATATGTAATAGTATGTAAAGATAAATTTTTAATAACTTTTTGAAATTAAAAAAAAAATAATAGTGATATATGGTAATTAATGTGGGGCAACTAACTGATTACTTAACTACTTGACAGATTTTCCAAACCATAAAATGACGAAATCAACTACTATACGCCACTCTATTTTCCATACACAAGTATCGTCCTTATCTCCATTATTGGATTTCTGTTCCTTTCGAATTCTATTTCAATTTAATAAAAATAAAAATATAAAAAACTATGTTCATGACCTCCTAACCATGGTTAACTAAAACCCTGGTAAGGTTGCGTTTGCGGTGGTCTCTACTCTCTAGTGGAAGAGAAAGCCTTTATAAATGAGGCGATGAAGCGCCCCAGTGTATCACTGCCATTTGCCCTGGCAAAGAAGCCTCCCTTTCTTAACGGTTTCCCTCTGTATCGTATGCAAAGGGAGAAACTTCCTTGTCTCATCACTGTCAGATCCTTATCTTCATTTTCTCTAAGCTTTTTCCAGAATTTTCTCTCCTTCTTATCCAAACAAACCTGGTTCGTTCTCCTTCTGCTTTCACCTGTATATTATTAGTTGTAGGTGCTTAATTATGTAATGGTGACTCAATTAGTTTCTCTTTATTTTTGTTTCGCAGAGAGAAAATTGCGATGGCGGATACAGAGAATGGAGAATTCAGCTTTAAAAGCAATGCAAGCGGACGCCATGGCTTGCCTAAAATCACGACACAGAAACCGGCGAACGACGTTTGTCACGACGATAGTGGACCGACGGTGAAAGCACAAACAATCGATGAGCTTCATTCTCTTCAAAGGAAGAAATCGGCGCCTACGACGCCGATCAAAGGTGCACAGGTTCCTTTCTCTCCTAGGTCAGAAGAGGAACGGCAGAAACAGCAACTCGAATCCATCAGGTGATTAATTAATTAAAACATTTGATTTTTTTAAAATTTTTTTTTGAGAACAGGAGAATTGAAATTAAGAAATGATTATAGATTGATGATTTTGAATTGTGCGTTTGTAGTGCATCGTTGGCATCTCTGACGAGAGAAACAGGTCCTAAACTGGTGAAAGGGGACCCGGCGAGGAAAGAAGGGCAGACAGTGTCTCATTCTCATGTGGCACATCCCTTCCTTTACACTCCTGCTATCAGCGTCAGTGATAGCTCTCTAAAATTCACCCATGTCCTCTACAATCTCTCTCCAGCTGGTATAATTAATTAGCTTTTGTTTCTAAACAGAGAGATAAATTTAAAAAATAGATAAAGTAAAAAACCTTTTAGTTGTTTTTTAATTAAGAAAAGGAATATATTTAGCATTTTTAAGCAAATTGATTACATTTATTATATTGCTAAAAAGGAAAAAAAACATTTTGTTTGTTTGGTTTAGCTATAGCTGAAGCTGATAGCTACTGAACTGACATGAATTTAATTTCATATAGCATGATATTGATTTATTGGGAGTTTCATTACTGTAGAGCTTTACGAGCAAGCAATTAAGTACGAGAAAGGTTCATTTATAACATCAACTGGTGCCTTGGCTACTCTTTCCGGGGCAAAAACAGGGAGGTCTCCAAGAGACAAACGTGTTGTCAAGGATGAAACTACCAAAGAAGAACTTTGGTGGGGAAAGTAAGTTCTTCTGCGTAATTTGAGCGCGCGCGCACACAAATTATTTCGTCTATTGCTAATCAAATTTATTATGTCTAACAAAATGTTTGATCTATTCCTTAAATGTATCAATTTCTTTTGCAGGGGCTCACCCAATATTGAAATGGATGAGCACACTTTCTTAGTTAACAGGGAAAGAGCCGTTGATTACTTGAACTCATTGGAAAAGGTATAAATTACTTAATTTAACCTTTTAAAATTTCGGTTTCCATCGTCTGGCCTCTATATATATTTCATTTCATGGATATTTTAAAATCTCTCTTTTCGTGATTTGAAGGAAATATATATATTTTTCAGTCTTTTAAATTAAATTACCAAAAACCTCTCACTAGTCAAACTTATCCATTATCAGCACTAGATTTGATTAAATCCCAATTGATCGCATTGCCTTTAAGTTGCAATTTTATCTTACCAAATATTTGACTAATATAGTTAGATATTTAAAATTCATCGGAAGGGATGATTAGATTTTGTTAATATATTTTTTTCGTTTCATTAAAATTGACATTTTTTTATATTTTATTTTACCTTAGTTTGAAAGATTTCAAAATTAAGAAAATTTTAATTATTTACTATTTCTTTTAATTTTACACTTATATTTTAAGCATTAATTATTTGGAAAATTAATAAAGTGTGCAAATAATTTGTATTTTTTTTTTGCACACCAACACATAGTTTAGTAGTAAGAGTATTTACGATTTAATAATAGATTCAAGTTTGAGTTCCCTTTCCAAATACTTCAAAAAAAGTTGCAATTTTTTTTGAAAAAAAATTTATACAATTGAGAAAGTGTTGATATTAATGAAATTAAAAGGTGCATATCAATATATAATTTAGTGCAGTGTATTTACGATCCGGTTTGAATCTCTTTTCACTAATGGAAAGAAAAAAAAAAAAAAAAAAGAAATTGAGGGAGTAATCATTAAATTCAGACGCATTAGCTTGGTGTGCATATTCCCGTCCATTCCTACATGTAAGGGACTGGGTCACTTCGCGATCGTACCTCGTTTAATTTGGGCTATAACAGTTGTTCACTTTATTTTTCATTTTTCTAATGATGATGAATGCTTATTTGACCTTTTCTGTGAAGCTGACGTGACTAATTCTTATGTAGTGGGTGTTAGAGAGATACCCATCTGTATCTGCAGACACATGTCCAAATTTTAGTCTATGCCTGAGAGCGTTATAACAACCTTACGCCGAGGAATCTCTCTTATGCTTTCTGGTTCACAAGATCAAGATCTTTGTTAATAACAATAAATTTTAAAAAATATGAAATTTTTATAATTCGAAACATTTTTATAGTTTTATAAATTTCAATTTAAAAGTTATTCTTAATATTACAATAAAAAAACAGAACGTAACTAAGTTTTAAATTATTTTCTGAAAACATATAGAGTCTAAATTCATTACGGTCGTATGAAATACACGCCTTACGTCACGGAATTTTAAATTTAGAAGAAACTGATCGATATAAAGAAATATGAGGCCACAAACATGGTTAACCTGGAAGAATACCTACAAATATGTGTAGCAATCCTAAGGAGGACCTCAGGGTTTTCACAGTTTGACATTCTAACAGAAGCCCATGACTCATTTTTTGTCGTTTTGCATATGATAAAGATATCATGGCCCGGGATCACGTGTTCTATGCTGTGTCAATCGATTCTAACAGTATTGCATGTAAGATTGGGACCTGATACTTAAAATTTATTGAGGTGGGATTTTATTGTTTGGTGTGCCTTATCCATCCTTGTTCGCATTCTTTTCAACTATTGGATGCACAGGATGGTCATGAAAAATCCCGTTAAGGTTAATGGTAGTGGTGTCCCTGTACAGAAAAGAGTTGGTGTTGTGTCTTGTCTGGACACAAAACTTTGATGCACTGATCACAAAATTTCCACTAACTGATACAACACTAGATTTTTATGCATAAGGTCGTGGGTTTTCTAATCCTGTCATTTTTGTGTGTCCATCGGTGCCCTCTTTCTAGTTAATTGGTTGTGCACTTTGAATTTTGTCAAGTAATAGCTACCTGACAATTAGTTGTTGATTTTAATTTCCTATTCTGAGTCGAGCTGTACTCAAGTTTTTCCAATGATTTAGCTCTATAACTAAAATGATTTCCTTGTATATATATATACAATACAAAGGTATATTTAATGTTGGCTTAAAGGATTCTTATGGCTGTTGAACTTTTTTTCTGCTTTATCAGTTAAATTCCAGACTTCTAATTAATTTGAGTGAAGAGCTGACTAAAAATGATTCAATCTGAGTAACTTCAAATGTTTTCATGTCTAAACTCACAAGATCCAGTGCAACTATATATGATCCCAATTATGGGGGTTTAATTTTTTGTTCAAATCTATAGTGAGTTTGAGATATGACACTGGTAAAATCTGCATTTCAGGTCTTTGTAAATGATCAGTTCCTGAATTGGGACCCAGAGCACAGAATTAAAGTTCGTATTGTATCTGCCAGGGCATACCATTCGTTGTTCATGCACAACATGTAAGTAACGAGGCCCAAGTACTAAGCAAGATTTTTAATTTGACAGATTTGATCAGAGTCAATGGAGAGAAATATGCAAGCTTTATTAAAAGATTTACCTCAGCATATTGTTTGCCATTGCATATACATTTGAGCATTAGTGGGTAAAGATATTTAATTTTTTATGTCTAGAAGAGAAATAAGTAGCCAAATAAGAGGCCAAAGTATAACAAAAATGCAATAATATAATAGCATAGTGTATAAACGATAATCGGGTGGGTTACAGGTGTATCCGACCCACTCCTGAAGAGCTGGAGGACTTTGGAACTCCGGACTTCACTATATACAATGCGGGGCAGTTCCCATGTAATCGTTTCACCCACTACATGACTTCCTCGACTAGCATAGACCTCAATCTTGCTAGGAGGGAAATGGTTATCCTTGGAACCCAGTATGCTGGGGAAATGAAGAAAGGTTTATTCGGCGTAATGCATTATCTCATGCCTAAGCGTCAAATTCTGTCCCTCCACTCTGGCTGCAATATGGGAAAAGATGGGGATGTTGCCCTCTTCTTTGGATTATCAGGTACAGTATCATTGGATCATCATTCTTGCAGTGGAGAGCAAGCAGCTACCAATCGATGCATGCCTTTTATGATCTCTGCCTGATGATCTATTTTGTCACATCAAGTCTTTTTGCTTATAAATTCCCTTTTCTTGATCTCTTTGTTACAGGTACTGGAAAGACTACTCTGTCTACTGATCACAATAGGTACATAATTGGGGACGATGAACATTGCTGGAGCGAAAATGGTGTCTCAAACATAGAGGGTGGTTGCTATGCCAAGTGCATCGATCTTTCAAGAGAGAAAGAGCCTGATATCTGGAATGCCATCAAGTTTGGAACTGGTAACTTTCTGATCCATTTTTTAGCTTGATTGACATCATTTAAGAATTTGTTTAGCTTCGTTTGATGTTTAACTAGTGATAATAAGATTTGCTTGTGCATTGCAGTGTTGGAGAATGTAGTATTCGATGAGCATACTCGAGAAGTAGATTACTCAGACAAATCTGTCACTGGTAATAATGAATCTGCAGACATAAAGAGTTTCTTTTGACTATGCCATTAATTAAGTCCTAGTTTTTACTGTACTATAAACTGCAGCAACGGCAAAAGGATTTTTTTTTTTTTTTTTTTTTTTTTGAGACAAAATCTGTCACTGGTAATAATGATCTGCAGACATAAAGGTTTCTTTTGACTATGGCCATTAATTAAAGTCCTAGTTTTTACTGTAGCTATAAACTGCAGCAACGGAAAAGGATTTTTTTTTTTTTTTTTTTTTTTTTTTTTTTTGAATGGGCCCTCAAGCACTTTTTTTTTTTTTTTTTTTTTTTTTGAATGGGCCTCAAGCACTTCAGTTACTTTCTGCTAAACATCAATTTGGCTCTTAAATGTTGCAGAAAACACACGGGCAGCATACCCAATAGAGTACATTCCAAATGCTAAGATACCATGTGTTGGTCCCCATCCAAAAAATGTAATCCTTCTGGCATGTGATGCGTTTGGAGTTCTCCCACCTGTGAGCAAGCTGAGCTTGGCACAGACCATGTATCACTTCATTAGTGGTTATACTGCTCTGGTACTTGCTAAACCTTTCAGTTCCTTCAATACACTTCGAAGTGAATCACTAGCAGCTTGAAAAGATGTTAATTATCGTCCCCTATTCTTAATAGGTAGCAGGCACAGAGGATGGAATTAAGGAGCCACAAGCAACATTTTCAGCTTGCTTTGGTGCAGCATTTATAACGCTGCATCCTACAAAGTATGCAGCCATGTTAGCTGAAAAAATGCAGAAGCATGGGGCTACAGGTTGGCTTGTCAATACCGGCTGGTCAGGTGGCAGGTCCGTAACTTATTAACTTGACGCATTTAAATCTTCCGTTTTTAGTTCATTTTATAAATTCCATAATTTGTTTTGCAGCTATGGCTCAGGAAGCCGTATGAAGTTAGCATACACTAGAAGAATCATCGATGCCATACATTCTGGGAGACTCTTGAAAGCAAACTACAAAAAGACTGAAGTGTTTGGGCTTGAAATCCCAACTGAGATCGAGGGTGTGCCTTCAGAAATCCTGGATCCTGTTAACACTGTAAGCTTCAGCTTGCCTTTCTTTCTTTCATTTTATCAAATCTTTTTCAACCTTCTTTCAGACTTCATGTGAATTTTTCCGAATTGTAGTGGAAAGACAAGAAAGCCTACCAGGATACCCTGTTGAAGCTGGGTGGTCTGTTCAGGAAGAATTTTGAAGTGTTCGCAAATTATAAGATTGGAAAAGACAACAGTCTGACTGAGGAGATTCTTGCAGCTGGTCCTATTTTCTAAACAGAGTGCTTTCACATTGATGGATCGAGTAGTGTGTATAAATAAGAAACTCTGAATTCATAAGCAGCTTATAATGTTATTTGAAGTTATATATACTAAGATAGTTTTTAAAATTTAGGTCTGAGCAGATTGGTTTCGCTGTGTTGGGATTATAGTATTTTAAAGATTTTTCAAACGAGTGTGATTCATTCTTTCTTGTTTTAGATTTCTTTGCCCTTATTACTGGTAATTTCGTGACTGAAATTAATCAACTTCTAGCAGCAAGAATTATCGCTTATAGTAAGAAAGAAACGTAAATCAATGTGTATGCGTGTATGTATACGATTCTCCTCATAAGCCCCATAACCATGGGCCAGGGCCTTGCATTGGGCCTTATCGACGTTCCTTCTAGATAAAGCCTGTGATGCTAATTGGGCCAAATTTAGACTCAGGTCAACAAATATTGATTAAATTATCATTCATATAAATAATCTACAAATTTATAAAAGATTTAAGAATTGTAGCTTGAGTATTTTTGTGAACAGCATCATGCAAGGAAAGCGATAATTCCATTGATCATGGGTCTAATAAATTCTTATTCATATATTTTTATTAATCAAAATAATATTTTTGATAATGTTACATTCACCGACAGATAATTTTATACTTACAGCGTCTAAATCTTTTATTTTCATATTTTCCTTTTTTTTTTTTTTTTTTGATAAAGTTAAATCTCATATTTTCTTTGTAACAGAATAATTCTTTTCTGTACTTATTACCCTCTCCTTTTTTATTTCAAGCGGCTCTTATTACTTTGGTAAAATATGCCATCACACCTGCATGCTGCATCTAAGTTTCTTCTTCATGACATGGATACAAAGAAATTATAAAATTTTGTGAAACAATGAAAACTTAATTAAATTCCCATTTTTTTTCCTCAGAATCATTTTTCATGCTTATTTTAATATAATTTTTCTCAAGATCCTTTTTTAATGATAATTAATTGTAAGGCATGCACAAAATTATATACATTTGATTCACTAATTGATAATGGAAATAATGAAAATTAATTAATTAATTATGTACCCCAAACTAATCTATATAGCTTCGATCAAATTTATAAAATTAAGTTTTGATTCGGGTTTAGGGTTCGGATTCAGGGATGGTAGCGGGTAATTTTAACTTTTTTCGATGACTATTCCCTTATATTATTAAAAATTCATCAAGCCTTGAAAAATTGCTTGCTGAGAAGTGAGAACCTCAAAATTCGAGTATTCCTATTACTTAAAGTTATATGGTAGAATACAGTTTGAAAAAAAAAAAAAAAACAGTAGAAAACACTCTTAAACCCTATTTCTCTTTCTCCTTCACGCATCTCCGAATACTTTCCCTACCCACCATCCTTCTCCTGCAAAACCCTCAATCGCATGGTAACAAATCTCAACCCTAACTCTAATTTCTCTTGTCTTCTCTCTGCTGTCAGTCTTGTGTTCTTGATTATTCTTCATGATTAATTTGTGATTTTTTTCTTTAATTATATAATTGTGATTCTTTTTTTTGTTCCTCATTCAGTTGTATTGTCTTTTTTCGTTTGATTATTTATGGAACTCAAGTAATGGGTTTTTATGATACTCTTTGTATTGTGAGTTTTTCGCAATTTTATAAATTATATTTTTACTATTAAAAAGCTTAAATATGTCTCACTTTAGATTTTCTCTGTACTCGATTTTCTCAGAAATCAGGAATTGTGGAAATTGGAAATTTCTTTCACTGTGCATTTTGCGGGTGGCTGTGAACAATAGACATAAACTACACAGAGAGTAAAACCCAAGAGATAGATGGACAAGGTGAAGATAGAAGAGGTGCAATCCACAGCAAAAAAACAGAGAGTCGCCACTCACACTCATATCAGAGGCCTTGGAGTAGAGGTATCTCTATATATCCTTTGTTCTATATCTCCTATAATCTTAGGTTCTTGTTTTTAATAGTAATTTTTGAATGCAAACTTTTAAGGAAATGCATGCCTTTGGTAAATAAAAACTTGCAAATGGGTTTCGAACGTCTGATTTTTCCAGCTTCTACGTTGATATAATGATAGAAATTGGTAGGCCAAGATAGTTAATTGATATGTAAGATATATATTAGGTTATTGAATTCATTTCATTATTTCATGGACTCAACTCTATTTGATTGCTTTATCACCTTTTGGGTCATTCTGGATCTTTTCTTTTCTAGCCCAGTGGAAAAGCAATACCGTTGGCTTCTGGCTTTGTGGGTCAAATGGAGGCAAGAGAAGCAGCTGGTCTTGTAGTTGATATGATAAGGCAGAAGAAGATGGCTGGCCGTGCTCTCTTACTGGCTGGTCCTCCTGGTACTGGAAAGACAGCTTTGGCCCTTGGAATATCCCATGAACTTGGCAGTAAGGTATAACTAACATTTTTTTCTCCTTCATAAGTTTTTGAATATTCACACTAGTTTCTTATGTTTCTGAAAAGAATTCCTTATATATTAAAGAGCTTTGGATAGGTTTAGAGTTTTGATTTCAAATGGTTAACTTACACAGTTGTTGTTTCTTTTCAGGTTCCATTTTGTCCAATGGTGGGATCAGAAGTGTACTCATCAGAAGTGAAGAAAACTGAAGTCTTAATGGAAAATTTTCGAAGGGCAATTGGTCTACGTATCAAGGAAAATAAAGAGGTCTATGAGGGAGAGGCAAGTTAAAGTTGCTCTAGTTCCTTGTCAAAACATCATCATCATTTTCATCTTAAGAACATTTTAAGTTGGTCCCAGTTTGTGATTTTTTTCCAGTCTTATTCCAGGTGACTGAACTTTCGCCAGAAGAGACTGAAAGTGTCACAGGTGGCTATGGTAAAAGCATTAGCCATGTAATTATTGGGCTCAAAACTGTCAAAGGAACAAAACAACTAAAGTTGGACCCAACCATCTATGATGCCTTAATCAAGGAGAAGGTAATGTGTTCTAGTATATTGCTTTTGGATGTTCAATTGTTATGCATCTTAATTTATATGTATAAGACTGTTATGAGCTATGTGTAAGCTTGCTGCTCTTTTTTGTCTAATTGTGGAAGTGCACTCGTGTCATTCATTTATTCTCATTGGGTTTCTTGTGCTAAGCTGCTTTCGTTTTATTTACTCTTTCCTTTTCAATTTAGTCCCTTGCAATACCTTTGTCATACAATTTGCAGGTAGCTGTTGGAGATGTTATATACATTGAAGCAAATAGTGGAGCAGTTAAAAGGGTGGGTAGAAGTGATGCTTTTGCTACTGAATTTGACCTTGAAGCAGAAGAATATGTCCCACTTCCTAAGGGAGAGGTTCACAAAAAGAAGGAAATAGTTCAGGTGTCTTTTCTCAACTTTTCTGGGAGAAGTTCTTCATATATCTTTCATTCCATACACTCATTAAGTCTTGTTGGCGGCAAGTCGCGGTACTTTTAACTGGCCTGACATCACCTTGTGAAGGATATGTCATCTAAAAGATAGGAACTCAGGTGGATTATGAATTTGTTGCTCTGACCTTTATAATTTTCTTGTCATCAGGATGTAACCTTACATGATCTAGATGCTGCAAATGCAAGACCTCAAGGTGGGCAAGATATTTTGTCTTTAATGGGTCAAATGATGAAGCCCAGAAAAACAGAAATTACTGACAAGCTGCGACAGGAAATCAATAAGGTTCAACTCTTTTGCGTATACCAGAGATATTTATTCACACAAAATGTTTTCTACTGGAAAGGTTATATGCAAGGTTTGCCACTTAGGAAATGCTCAGACTTAGTTCACAATTTATTCACAATACGACCTTCTAGGAATCTTAGATCTTAATACAGTACATTTAATATTATCTTTGTGTTTTAAGCACTAATGAATAACTCTCCATATTTGGTTTGTAAATATTTAATTTGGTTTTATCAGAGGTGGCTTGCTCTACTGTGTTCCTAATATTCAGGCTTCCAAACTTCTAATTATAAAGGAACATGTTGCTGAAAAACTTTATTGATGGCAGGTTGTTAATCGATATATTGATGAAGGTGTTGCGGAGCTTGTCCCTGGTGTTCTATTCATTGATGAGGTTATCTTTTTTTCTTTGTTTCTCAAATCATTTCCACATCTTATCCATTTGCAAATTTCTTTTGTGTTTCTGAAATTACAATCAATAGGTACATATGCTGGATATGGAGTGCTTTTCATACTTGAATCGCGCTTTGGAAAGTTCATTGTCTCCAATAGTAATATTTGCTACAAATAGAGGAATATGTAATGTCAGGTATGAAGAATATGTGTGTATATTTTCCTTATGTACTATGGTATCTGGAACAAGCTTCCTTATGCACTATGGTGGTGAGACCAAGCTTGTTCACATTTAACTATCCTGTTTCCCCCTTTTGGTGGCTCTTCAATTTGTTATTTATTACTGTTATTGCTAAGGACGAAGTGGTTATTTGCATTTCTCAAGATCTGCCTGTACATTGAATCGGTGAATGTAACTCAACCATGTGCTTGTGGCATAGCACTTATGATTATCCAATGACAGTCTGTCTTATTTCTACCTGTTGTTTTTAATGTTTCTTTCCCCTGTGTTTTCGAATAATGCATAAAGTGTGGTAATGGGAAGAAACAACTTATACTTTGAGAAACCAAATTTTGTAGCATGAATGGATGTCTAGTTCAGTAATATTTCACAGAGATAGATGAATATGTTTTAGGGTTCGTTTTGAGATGACAAATTGCCTTTGCGTGTCTGCTTCTGTTTAACAATGCCTTAATTTCTGAAATGAAGTGTTGCTGATTGTAGAGGTACAGACATGAATAGCCCTCATGGCATTCCTGTTGACTTGTTGGACCGATTGGTGATCATCCGAACACAGATTTATGGTCCAGCTGAAATGATACAGGTTCAAGCCTTGAATATTGATATCATCACAAGTTCTTTCATTTTCTCAAAAATGCACCACATGATGGACTCTTGTTTGGTCAGATTTTAGCAATTCGTGCACAAGTAGAGGAGCTGATTGTAGATGAGGAAAGTTTGGCATTTCTTGGAGAGATTGGTCAACGCTCATCATTAAGGTTTGGATTAAATACAACTTATTATGTGCTGCAAATCAATTCCATTTATTATCTTAAATGCACTTTGATCTTTGTATTTTTCTTTTCTTGTCCACTTCAGGCATGCAGTTCAGCTGTTATCACCTGCCAGCATTGTCGCAAAAATGAATGGGCGAGACAACATTTGCAAGGTAAGTGTTGTATCGATAAACCAGTAGCATTTATTATTGTTTGCAGTAAATTCACACTTAAGAAGGCGATAAATTGTCAAATGAAATGTAATTTTCATTACCATTTGTTGGCATAACGTACAGGCGGATCTTGAGGAAGTAAGTGCATTATATCTTGATGCCAAGTCTTCAGCGAAGGTACTTCAAGAGCAGCAGGAGAAGTACATTTCATGAATGACAGTACCGTATTAATAGGAAGTGGCAATTTTTGATTGATCAAACCTGCCTGCCTTTAATTCACACCTTGGTAGGGTTTTGCTTTAGGTTGTGGGTTTACTACCAAATCCAATCTACGGTGTGGATAAAATGTAACATTTTGCTAATTTGAAAAACCAATGTTCCTTTAAGGATGCATTCCAATGATATTTGGTTCCCAAATGATTCAAAAACCTCATGCATACTGATTTTCTTTTCACTTGCTGGCCTTTAAGTTGTTCTTGTCTGTCTTATTTTGCTCGACGGAAATGGATACCAAATGCTTAGTATAAATCAAGCAAGGCAAGACTTTTGTTATAATCTGCACACGAAATTATATTGTATCTATTCTATTGGATAAAAATAACAAATTATATTATATATTATGTAAGTTATAAAAGATGGTAATACTATTTGGTTTCATCTTTTATTATTATTATTATTATTATTTTATTTTTATTTTTTAATAATTGAAACGGGTGGTTTTCAAACTGTGGTCTAGCATATACCCAATATAAATTTTAAAAAAATTCAAAATCTATATAAAGTTTAATATATAATAACTGCATTTCATAAATTCTAGCTTTTAGATGTGTAATTTTCTATTTGTATCATATTTTACTAATAAAAATGAGACATTTCATGTATAAAATGGCTAATGATACTTTTTTTATAAACCTGATAAGCTAATAAAGCCTGACCTAACAACCAAAACTAAAATCATTTACGATTAAGTTTGAACCTATCCTCACTCCTCTATAATTTGTAATATCATTGAAGAATACTAAATTTCTTACAGAAATAATGGAGAAATGTTGCAACCAATGTAGATAACAATATATTGATCGAAGAGTACTAAATTTTCTACAAGGTAATAGTTTTACGTTGCAATCAAATATGAAACCATCAATATATACTTGACAACTCTAAACAAAAGAATCATATATATCAATTAATTGTGCATGTATTTACCATAAGCAACATGTTGTGTCCATCAAATAGTGGCATTTTTCTTTCTGCAAAGTGTAAAGCAATAACAAAAAAAGTTTCGTGACAATACGGTTTGGAATCGTGGTCTCGCATGTATTGAATATAAAGTTTTTTAAAAAAATTCAAAATCCATATAAAATTTTAATATATAATCGTTCAATTTCATAAAATTCAGCTTTCATATGTGTAAATTTCTACTTGTGTCAAATTTTTCTAACAAAAATGAGAGCTTTCGTGTCTAAAATGGCCGATGACACTTTTTTTGTACTCTAATAAACCAATAAAATCCTGAATTAACAACCAAAACAAAAATCTTTTACGTCCGAGTTTGAACCTTACCCCGCATCTCTTTAATGTGGAACCTCATTGAAGAATTCACAAAATTAATGGAGAAATGTTGCAACCAAATGCAGATAACAATATATTGATTGAAGAGTATTAAATTTCGTACAAGGCAATAGATAGATGTTGCAATCAAATATAGAAAAATCAACTTGGACTTGACAACTCTACATGAAAGAATCAACTATATCAATTAATTGTGCATAAATTTACCACAAGCAACATGTTTATCCATCAAATAACAATATTTTCCTTTCCACAAAGTGCAAAGCAATAACAAATCTTTGTTTATGGATGTGAGGAATATTACAATTCCCAAAAAAATGTTTCTGCTAAGTTTATGGATAGACAAAAATATCATTAAAGATTTTAATTTGATTGTTGAAAAGATAAAGGTAATTTAATTTGATTCGTCATATTAATTTTCCATTTATATTCTATTAGAAAAAATAAGTAATTATATTATGCATTATATGGTATATACAAAATATGGTAATAATATTCGGTTCTAATTTTTTATAACTGGAATCGGTGGTTTTGAAACCAAAACTAGTGGTTCTGAAGTCGTGGGCATATCTAGCATGTACCCAATATAAATTTTAAAAAAATTCAAAATTCATATGAATTTCATAAAATCAAGTCTTCATATGTGTAATTTTCCACTTATAATTAAAAATGAGACATTATGTGTCTGAATGGTCAAATGTACTTTTTTTTGTACCCTAGGGTCCTGACCTTACAATCAAAATATATATCATTATGTCCGGATTTGAACCTCACCTCACTCCTCTTTAATTTGTAATCTCATTGAAGAATACTAAATTTCTCGCAAACATAATTGAGAAATGTTGCAACCAAATATAGAAAATCAACATATTGATAGAAGAGTATTAAATTTCTTATAATCTAATAGATAAATGTTGTAATCAAATATGGAAAAATCAATTTGTACTTGATAACTCTAGAGGAAAAAATCAACTATATCAATTAATTCTCATATTTACCATAAACAATATGTTGCATCCATTAAGTGATGGCACTTTTCCTTCCGCAGATTGCAAAGCAATGGCAAATCAACGTATTGATCAAAGAGTATTAAATTTCTTATAATCTAATAGATAAATATTGTAATCAAATATGGAAAAATCAATTTGTACTTGACAACTCTAGAGGAAAAAAATCAACTATATCAATTAATTCTCGTATTTACCATAAATAATATGTTACATCATAAGTGATGGCACTTTTCCTTCCGCAGAGTGCAAAGCAATGGCAAATCTAAAACTCCATTTATTTCTTTACAATAAATATTTTTTATATGTCTGTAATATACTCAATCTGTTCTAAAATATAAGTCATTTTTTGTATTTATTTTGTCTTAAAATATAAATTGTTTTTAGTATTTTTTTTTTTTTGAGTAGTAAATGACATTTTTCCACTATTAACCTTATTTACATTAAATACAATAACTATCTTTACAAAGTAACTCTTGTTTGAGATATAGGATAATTTGGTCAAATTAATCTTGATTTTGTCATAATTTAGGAGAATTAATTATTTTCTTAATCTCGGTGTAAAAATCTTAAACGACTTATATTTTAGGACAGAGTGAATACATAAAAGTGAAATTGGTAGGAAGAAAATTGGAGCTAGTAAAAATACATTTACTAAGTTTATGGATCAATAAAAATATCGTTAATATTTTTAATTTGATTGATTTGAAAAAAATAAATATAATTCAATTTTGATTGTTATATAAATTTTCTATTTAAATCTAAATTCTATTGAATAAACTAATAAATTATATTATATACTAAATAATGTTATATTAAATATGGTAAGAATATAACATCTTTAAGGATTTAATTTTATTGGTTGGAAAAACAAAGATATTTAATTTTAATTGGTTTTATTATACTATTATATGATGAGAATATAATATATTTAATTATTATTTTAATAAATCTTTAATTTGATTGGTTATAATTATTTTCTACAATAAGTAACTTATTCTACAAAAAATAAATACAATTTATTAATATTTATAAAAAATATATTATAAAATTTATTGTTTGATTGAAAATAGAAAATAAAACTCCCCGAAAATATATATAAAATATAGAATTACGTAGAGCCAGGAACGGTTTGATGTTTAACAAATGAAATCTGCAAATGCAAAGATATGATTGTACTCCTACTTATTATAAATAGCCATCATGCTTTATATTATTATCATCAAATGCATTCTTCAAAAAAATTTTTTGAGAAGAAAACAAACAAAATGGTGATGGCTTTTATCTTCATGTTGCTAGGGCTTTCTTCCACAAAACCAAATGTAGAAGCAGCAACTCCTTTGCAACAAGCTCATGCCACCTTCTACGGTGAAGGTAGTGGCGGTGCTTGTGGATATGCAAATCTTAATACCGATGGGTATGGATTCCAAAACGCAGCTTTGAGCACAGTTTTGTTCAAGAATGGCGCGGCATGCGGTGGGTGCTATGAGATTACTTGTGATTCTGCGAAAGACCCTCAATGGTGCATCAAAGGGAAATACATTACAGTTACTGCTACAAATTTCTGCCCACCAAATTCCAGTCTTCCCAATAATAATGGAGGATGGTGCAATCCTCCACTCCAACACTTTGACATGTCTACAGCTGCCTTTGAGACTATTGCCTATTACAAGGCGGGAATAGTACCTGTTCTCTATAGAAAGTGAGTTCGTTCTAAATAACTCATTATCATTATTTTTAATTAAAGGAAGAGAAATCTCTGCAAATAACTCTATCTTTGATTTGGCGAATAGGGTTCCATGCACTAGAAGTGGAGGCATAAGATTTACCATAACTGGAAAGAGCAACTTTGAGCTAGTGCTAATATCAAATGTAGGAGGACCTGGAGAGATCTCACAGGTATGGATGAAAGCGTCAGGATCAAACAAATGGGAATCCCTGACGAGGAATTGGGGGGCTAATTGGCAGAGCCTAAGCAATCTGCAAGGGCAGAGCTTGTCGTTCACAGTCCATGCAAGCGACGGGCGTTCCGTCACAGCTCTTAACGTGATACCTGCTAATTGGGCGTCTGGCCAGTCCTTCAAAAGCAATGTTAATTTCTAGAATTATATATATGGCAGAAGGCTTGTCGTTCACAGTCCATGCAAGCAAGCGGGGTTCCGTTCACAGCTCTTAACGTGATAGCCTTGCTAATTGGGCGTCTGGCCATCCTTTCAAAAAGCAGGATGTAATTCTAGAAATAATTATAGTATATATATATAATATATAAAATAATAATATATAAATAAAATTATATATATATAAATAATTTCCTTTTTCAGGAAAGCCTGATGGTTGGATGTAGTTCCTAGTGTTGTGGAGTTTTTCCTACCCTTTCTCTTAATCTTCACTAATAAAATCTTATTTTCTTTGCTGTTCTAAAAAAAAAAAAAAATCGTTTTCTCGAATCCATAAACCATTTGTATGTCAAAAATTAATTGACGCTTAATACAAGTAATAATGTGTTTGTTTGAGTAGAATTTTTTTATTTATTCATTTTGCACACGAACACAAAAGCAGGAAATTAAGCTCCAATTTGAATTTGCTAATGCAGGCAAAATTAAACCTTGCACTTTAATCAAAAGTTAATGCTTTGAATCTCTTACAAAAAAAAGTTAATGCTTTGGATTATTGAGGTTGTTAAATTTAAAACCTGATTTTTCGAGAATTAAAGTTTAAAAATATTGTAAATAAATTATTCACAATCATGTAACATCTCGATTTGGAGAGCGCCAAGAATGAAAGGTTGGAAATTATTTTCATTTAAGATTTTCTATTTATTTAATATTGTTTGTATTGAATTTAAACATGCTATGAAACTAGCACTTTATTAAAACTTTTTATCATGATGGGAATCAAGAAAATTTGAGTAAGACTATTAATATAATTTTGTAACTACAACTAGTTGGTGCATTCGAGTAATCAGAAGAATCTCTATATGAATATAAATAGAAGTTCTGTTCGAATTTACAAATTTCACAAATGAATATATTCATGATATTACTACACAATGAGTGTAACGATCTATAAAATAAAAATTTTAGAATCTCATGAATAAATATATTCATGATATTGTTACAAAATGAGTGTACCAATCTATAAAAATAACTTCTATGTTTAATGTTTAATATTTTGTAACGAGTGTAACTATCTTTAATGTTTCTTAAAAATAACTTCTAGTTTTTTTTTTTTTTTTTTTTTTTTTTTCTTAAAATAACTTCTAGTTTTTTTTTTTTTTTTTTTTTTTCTATAAGAGGACGAGAGTATGGGAAGATTAATGAAGGTGTAGAAAAAAAAAAAATTAGAAATGTAATTTTTTTTTTTTTTTTTTTTTTTTTTTTCTATAAGAGGAGAGAGATGGAAGATTAATGAAGGTGTAGAAAAAAAAAATTAGAAATTAATTTCTTACCTATCTAAAAAAAGCATTACTATCTTTAATTTTAAATCGATAAATTATAATTGCAAACAAACTTTTGAATTGAGATACATTCATTTGAATTTTTAAAATAAAACAGTAAAAAACATAAAATCTATTCAAACCCATCAATCCTTCAAAAAAAACTTATATAAGAAACTTCAATTTACATTTATAAAAATAGGATTAGAGTTACTTAGACTCGGTCTACGTCTATCTATAAATCGAACCAATGAAAATAAGGATTTTTTCATAATAATATTACTAAAAACAGTACAACCCTTTGGCAGATTTGGAGAGCCAGAAATGGTTTGGTGTTTAACAATGAAATCTTTAAATGGAATGATATTTTACTTAGGGTTAATCATCATAATTAAGGGAGAATTCCAGATGGCAAAGGAAGTTGGTTTACTGAACTGAATTATGATTTTGCAATAATTGAAAGGCTTGGTTGATCGCACTCCTTCTTATTATAAATAGCCATCATCTTTATATTATCATCATCATCATCAAATACACTGTTCAAAAAAATATTGTTACTGATCTTTTTTTGAGAAGAAATCAGACAAAATGGTGATGCCTTTTATCTTCATGTTGCTAGGGTTTTTTTCCACAAAACCAAATGTAGAAGCAGCACTTTCTTGGCAGCATGCCCATGCCACTTTCTATGGTCCAGGTACTGGCGGTGCTTGTGGATATGCAAATCTTAATACCGATGGGTATGGATTCAAAAACACAGCTTTAAGCACAGCTTTGTTCAAGAATGGTGCGGCCTGCGGTGGGTGCTATGAGATTACTTGTGATTCTGCCAAAGACCCTCAATGGTGCATCAAGGGGAGATACATTACAGTTACTGCTACAAATTTCTGCCCACCAAATTCCAGTCTTCCTAATGACAAGGGAGGATGGTGCAACCCTCCACTCCAACATTTTGACATGTCTACGCCTGCCTTTGAAGCTATTGCCCATTACAAAGCTGGGATTGTACCTGTTCACTATAGAAAGTGAGTTCGTTCTAAATAATTAATTTCTCTGCCAAATAACTCCATCACTAGTTTTAAATTAACTTGTGGTTGCTTTGATTTGGCGAATAGGATTCCATGCACCAGAAGTGGAGGCTTAAGATTTACGGTAACTGGAAAGAGCAACTTTGAGCTAGTGCTAATATCAAATGTAGGAGGAACTGGAGAGATCTCACAGGTATGGATGAAAGCGTCAGGATCAAACAAATGGGAATCCTTGACGAGGAATTGGGGGGCTAATTGGCAGAGCCTAAGCAATCTGCATGGGCAGAGCTTGTCGTTCGCAGTCCATGCAATCGACGGGCGTTCCGTCACAGCTCTTGACGTGATACCTGCTAACTGGGCGTTTGGCCAGTCCTTCAAAAGCAAAGTTAATTTCTAGAATATGATTTGTTTAATAATTTTTTTTTTTTTGAAAGGGATTTGTTTAATAATTTTATAAATTCCTTTTCCAATATCAATAAAATATTTGTATGATTAAAATTACATAAATGTCAAAAATTAATCGACGCCTAATACAAGTAATCCTTTGTTTGTTTGAGCAAATTATTTATTTATTTTGATGAGTTAAAGTATACAAACACAAAAGCAATAAATTTCAAGTTTCTTAAGAAAATCATTAAATTTGTCTAAGTTATAATAAATTATTGAGTAAATTCAATGTATTACTCTTAATTTAATACTACTAATTATCTAAAAAAACCATTAAATTGAAGTAATAATTATTGGTCATATACAAAGTATAAACATGAAAAAAAAAACATTTATTACTTCTTGAAATCATAAATATAACAAGTATTTTGGAACAAACTATTTTCTAAAATGTGATAAATATTGTGTAACAGATGTAGTATTATTCATAATAATAATAATAATAAAACATCTAGATTTGGAGAGTGAAGAATAAAAAGTTAGAAAAATATTTTCATTTAAAGTTTTCTATTTATTTAATAAAACATCTAGATTTTGGAAGAGTGAAGAATAAAAGTTAGAAAAATATTTTCATTTAAAGTTTTCTATTTATTTAATATTGTTTGTATTGACTTGAACATGCTATAAATATAACACTTCTATGAAATTTTTTTTTGGAACAAACTATTTTCTAAAATGTGATAAATATTGTGTAACAGATGTAGTATTATTCATAATAATAATAATAATAAAACATCTAGATTTGGAGAGTGAAGAATAAAAAGTTAGAAAAATATTTTCATTTAAAGTTTTCTATTTATTTAATATTGTTTGTATTGAACTTGAACATGCTATAAAAATATAACACTTCTATGAAACTTTTTATCCAGATAGAAATCGAGAAAATTTAATGTTATAAGTAGCAAAAATTTTGACATAACGGGTGTAAGAATTTTCAGAAATATTTGGAATATTTCATTTACGAGCAGAAAAGTTATTCATTTGTATCGATATAAGAATGCATTTGCTAAATTAGTTATATTACTTTAAATAAAATTAATGTTATAAGTAGAATAGTATTTTGGTTTAAAAAAACCATTTATAATAACTTAAAAGTCATAAATAGAGTATCTATTACATTGGATTATTCATTTAATTTAAAACTATTTTTAACCTGGGAAAAAGATCATATTATACTGTTTCCTCCATCGCATAAAAATAGATTATTTTTTTCATTTGACTGAAACTATAATCCCATTTTAATTTTTTAAAAGAGGACAATCTTTATTGATACATCGTGAATTTATTAATCTTTTCACTTTATATAATCAACTAGAAATTTCGAGTTTGAATTTTATCAACCACAAAAATTTTACCGAATTAGTGGATCAAACCAGATTTGTTCCTATTATTTATCTTATAATTTTGTTCTAGCACGTTAAGCCTCTCAATAAATCAAGAAAAGGACAATCTTTGTGATCAAATCTCGAATAAATAACTAATTAAAACATATAACTTCCATTTTCTAAATTAGGGGGAAAAATCATAATTTCAGCTTTTTTCCCCCTATATTACATCTAAATTCAACTCTAAAAATAAAAAAAAATTCAGTTTCCGTCTTATATTTACTTTTCCAAGTTCTACTAGCAACCAAACAAAGTTTAACTCAATTGTGGCTCTCATCTTTGTTGGAATCTCATAATTTCTTCACAGTGTTCAGTCTTATAGAACTTAGATCAAATTCCACTCAAAAAAAAAAATAGAACTTGGATCGAATTATTTCCATATTCAGCAACATCAACTATTTGAAGAAATCGAGAGTAACTGTTTCGGTTATACTGCTCGATCTTGCAAAGAATACCTGTGCAGCTTAACCGAGTTAGTGCCGCATCTGTATGGAAGCATTCACTACCTTAAACAGAATAACTGTAATCAACTGCCCAATTTTAATTAGCATGCCACCACTTGCTTTCCCATCTCTTTGGTATTTTGAACAGGGAGCCAGTTCCTGAGCTTAAACATACAACTAAAAGAACAGATTTCTGGTTGAGAAGGAAAATATTGTAAGGATTGTGGCTGCAAAGGAAAATATTGTAAAGATTGTGGCTGCATTTCAAAACTATGAATGTCATTTATGTGAAACTTATTTTTAGTTTCTAGTTACTGCAGATAAATTGTATGTAAATAAACATCCTGTTAATGGCACACTTTTGCCTCAGGCTTATTTTCTCTGACCAGGCTAACAACTCTGAAACTGCTGCATCATTTTACAGCCAGGATGTTGTATAACATGATTATGATTCACTGGCTGAAGCAGCATCATCTTTGTGCTTAATCATGCCAGAGTCGACCAGAATTGGAACCTCTGCTGCTAGCCATGGAGCAAGACCCAAGCAAAGCGCATGTGCTATGCCAAACCTAGGACTGCCAAATCAGGCAAGATCCAAAATATTGTTGTTACGTAATTTTATTAGAGAAAAGCAAAGATTCAACCAAATGAAAAATATAAACAACATTTCAAAAAGAAAGCACAAGCAGTGAAGCAAAATTGTTAATCATCAAATGAAATTGGAGAGTTTCATTCTTCAAATTGTATAATGAGTTACACATATAAAGTCATAATGCAAAATTCAATTTGAGATCTAGGAAGAGGGTGACTATGGCACCTAGATCAGAACTTTATAATTGGCCAGTACACCTGCGAAAACACTGTGGAGGGAAGCACAAGCAAGCACACCCGACACACTGATACATGCTAGAGAAGCACTAAAGAATTGACGAATACAACCTAAAAGTGACGATGATCTAAAATTCATTGACATAATAAATTCTCAAAAAATCAAATGTGCAAATGAAGATAAACACAGTATCAAATGAAACAAGTAATGCAATATTTCGAATAGCCGCTATTATAAACAAGTGAAAGAAAAAATAATAAAAGCTCTCTCACACTACCATGCTCTATATTTCACATTCCACACACACAAAAATAAAAACATAAGTCAATTATGCCAGTCAGTTGGATTATGCATATAGAGGTTAAGGAGGTAGATATTCTGCGTATCCCTATCAAAAAAGAAGCTATCATTCACATTGCCAAAATTTTGTTCCTTTCAACCTCTTTTTAACACCTGAAAATATCATAACTTTCAAAAAATATCCAATTAACCAATTTGACATACATTTCAAACATAAAAATTAACAAATAATCATACCAATTTTTGGCCCAAAGTGGCTTGAAATGAACAGTCAAGCAAATCTTTCCTCCTCTATACATCTATAAACGCCACAAAAATAAACTAAATTAAAAAAATAGCCAAATTAAACACCTAAAAAAGGAAAGGAAAGGAACATCATCATAAAACCAGAAAAAAAATGACCTTTTGGGTCTTGCCATCGAGCTCAGGCAACTCGATCTCCGGAGCAGTAGATGGATAAGTAACCGGTATATCGAACTGGAGATCAAACTCGTATTTAAGGAGGTTGTGTACATACCAGCACTTGCCGGTCCAACGTGTTCCCTCGGGATTGGCTGCGGAGATACGGAACCAATCATTGTCGTTGGACTTGTTCATTTGAGTATAGGCGATCAAAGCCTTGTACTCTTCTTTCAGCCTCTGTGTCCATGCAGCTCCGTCTCTTGGCCCGGCTTTGGTTGTCAGTAGCGGGATCTGTGTTAATGTGGATTTAGTGTTTGGATCCCATCCCTCCATTTTACCCCTCTTTTATGAACCCTAACCCTAATTTTGATTTTAATTTTGATTTAGCAGTTTGCCTTTGCAAGGGTCAAGGTTGCGAAGGAGGGCCGCGGAAGCAAGGAGAGGAATCAAAGGGCTTTTTTAATTTTATGGCAAAGTCGCCGTTTTATCAGTTGACGACAACTTTTAGAGGAAACAAAGCTGTCTGTCGCAGGAGAATTTATCTGTTTGAATTATCGTCTCGTTTGAGTTCTGACGATAATTTATCTGCATAAAACGGCAGTTGTGCTGGTGAACGACCACGTGAAGAGCTTATATCACGTCGCATAATTAGAACCCCTTGTTTAGGTGACGAGTTTTTGTTCGCACAAAATGTCGGTCGTGTGTCGTTCTTGCGAAAAGGCAAAGAGATTACTATTGGCCATTAAAAACGGCCTCCTGCGTGTAGCTCCACAACTGAAATGGCCTGGTCTCGATTAACTTTAAATGGCTTTCCTTTGTAGTTTAGAACTTTAGATGAAAAAAGAAAAAACATTATATACACCAAAAAATCATTGAACTTAATTTATAATTATTTTGTAGTATTTTTTATTTTTTTAATAGAAGGAATAGGAACAATCTTTAAAACCAAAAAAATAAAGTAAAATAAAATATTAAGATGTACACATAATTGGCAGATTATTAATCACTGAGGAGATTGCTTATTCTAATAAGGCATTAGTGGTTGATTCCAAGCTTACATAACATCTAATTTCTGTTCATTTTTGCAAAGTTAACCATAAAATACATAATACTACAACAAACTGGATCAAAACAAGAGCATAATATCAGTTAGCTTAATTCTCAATATTCTCTTTTAACCATTAATTAAAGATTAATTTCTTTTCAATTTTTCCCAAGAAAAAGCTCCTTAATCAACCCATGCAGTATCTTCGCTCAATTATTTTAGTTATTCCATCCGCTCTGCACGAGAGTGGAAGTGGCCCAAAGTCTATATAACGACTTCGCATCACTTTCCCCTGCAAGATATTGCCAAACAATGAAGAGAAATATTATCAACAAAAGACTGCGGTAGAGACTGTAGCTAATCAAAGATTCAATCTTTAATTAGATCCCAGTTCCTTCTCAAACTTATTTTGCCTTTATATGGCAGACATAATTTTATCTCCACTTTTCCAAGTGGTTTTTGACAAATTAAGCACTCCACTGCTGGAAGAAATAGCCAATCGGTCTGGTCTTGGAAGAGAGGTCACTGCACTTCGCCATAAGTTGAAGACCATTAGAGCAGTTCTTGAAGATGCAGAAGAGCAGCAATTAGCTACCAGAGCTTTTAGGATTTGGTCTGCAGAGCTTAAACAAGTTGCTTTTGATGTAGAGGATTTCCTTGACGAGTTCTCTCCAGAAGCCATTCAAGCTGGAAACTATGATGGTTTTATTGGACAGGTACGAAACTTGCACCCTTCTTTGGGACAATTTGTTAATCGCATTGATATGTTTCCTAGAATAACCCAGATTAGAGAAAATTTAGAAACTCTGGTAGAAGAGAGGTCTAGTTTTCATTTAAGAGAGCGAGTTGTTAGACCAAGTAGTAGAAGTAGAAGACACACTGGGCCTTCTATAATTGAATCAGAAGTTTTAGGGAGAGAAGAGGATAAAGAGAAGATAGTTAAGCTTTTACTCTCTGCTGATAATGGGTTTAGTCCAGGTGGTATTTCAGTTTTGTCCATTGTTGGTTTGGGTGGTATTGGTAAAACTACACTTGCTCAGATAGTTTACAATGATGAGAGGTTAAAAAGACATTTTGATCTGAAAATATGGGCATGTGTAAATGATGATTTTGATGTGGAAAAAATTATGTTGTCTATATTAGAATCTGGTAGAAAGGTTAAGTGTGACTTCTCCGAAATGGATGCACTGCAATTTCGGCTTCAGGAACTATTGATTGGAAAGAGATACTTGCTTTTTCTAGATGACGTGTGGAATGAGGATGTGAATGAGTGGGATAAACTGAGAACTTCATTAATAGGTGGTGTGGAAGGTAGTGTAATCATTGTCACTACTCGGAGCGAAAAGGTTGCATCTATAATGGGCAGTGCTTATATTCATTATTTGGAAGGTTTGTCTGATGATTGTTGTTGGGGTTTGTTCAAGAAACGAGCTTTTGGTCAGGATGAAGACAAGCATAGAAACTTATTCCCAATTGGCATGCAAATAGTGAAGAAGTGCGGAGGTGTACCTTTAGCTGCAAGGACTCTAGGAGGTCTGATGCGCTTCAAAAAAGATGAAAGAGAATGGCTTCTAGTGCAGGATAGTAACCTTTGGGATCTATATCAAAATGAAACTGACATTTTACCTGCGTTAAGGTTAAGTTACAGTCACTTGCCATCCCATTTGAAAGCATGCTTTGCATTTTGCTCAATATTTCCTAGAAATTACGTAATCAAAAAGGAAAAGTTAATCCAACTTTGGATAGCAGCAGGCTTGATTCAATCACCTGAAGGGAGAAAAACATTTGAGTTTATTGGGAATGAGTACTTCAATGATTTGGTGTGGATGTTTTTCTTTCAAGATATACACAGAGGCGAAAATGGCAGCATTCTTGAGTGCCAAATGCATGATCTCATTCATGATCTGGCACAATCTATTGCAGGAAGTGAATATGTATGGGTGGAAATTGACAGGATGCCACAAAATTTCTCCCAAATCCGCCATTGTTCCATGATTTGTAATTTCAGCTCACATAGGATTCCAGAAGCTCTGTATGAAGCAAAGAAGTTGCGAACCCTAATCTTATTGTTGCCAAAAGGAGACCTCGGAGAGCTACCTCCTAATGTGTTTTCAAATTTCAGATATTTGAGGGTCTTAGATGTAAGTGGTAGCGGCATTAAAAGACTAAGTGAATCAATTTCCTCTTTCTTATTTTTGAGGTATCTCGACATCTCTAACACACATGTTAAGAACTTACCTGAAAGTGTTTGCAAGCTTCGAAATTTACAAGTGATGAACCTTTCTGGTTGCTATGATCTTGTTGAGTTGCCAAGAGACATAACCAAGTTATATAAGCTACGGCATCTAATCCTACATGGTTGTGACAGGCTCAGCAGAACACCAGCATCAATTGGAAAACTTGTATATCTCCGAACATTGTCAATGTTTATTGTGGGAAGGGAGAGAGGTGAAAGCATTAGCGAGCTAGGAAATCTGAACCTTGGAGGGCAACTGAATATTCTTCATTTGGAGCATGTGAAGGAGCCAGAACAAGCAATAAAAGCTGACTTAGTTGGAAAGAGAAACCTCCAGTCATTGGATCTATCTTGGGGAAGCGATCGCAATGGTATGGTCAGGAACAATGCTAATGATGGCAGAGTAGAGGAAGTGCTCAATTGCCTACAACCACATAAATATCTAAGGAAGTTGAGTGTTAAAGAGTACCAAGGAATGCAGTTTCCAGGGTGGATATCTTTTTCTAAAATCCCAAATATAACTGAGCTTATCTTGGTTAACTGTAGAAGATGCGAAAATCTTCCTACACTGGGCGAACTTCCCTTCCTTAAGGTCCTTTACTTGCAAGGAATGGATGCGGTGAAAAGCATTGGCAGTCAGTTCTATGGTCAAAAAGAGGGAGCATTCCCATCATTGGTGGAGCTAACCCTTCTAGATTTCCCCAATTTAGAAACTTGGTGGAGTTTTAATAGGAGAGAGGACTTTCCTTCTCTTGCCAAATTGATCATCAATAGATGTTTGAAGCTAAGAAGCATGCCATGTTTCCCCTTTCTTCAACATCTGGAGCTACGAAATTGTGACGATATGGTACTAAAGTCAGCATCAAATCTAACCTCCCTCACTGTTCTTGTCATTGATGAAATTGCTGAGTTGGTTTTTTTGGAGAACTTGCTAGAAAGCAATACTCTTCTCGTGTCTTTAGTGATTAGCTCTTGCCCAAAGCTCAGTTCCATGTCTCCGAGTTTAGTAAACCTGATAAATCTGAAATCCTTGGCAGTTCGCTGGTGCAAGGAGCTCCATTCTTTGCCACATGGATTGCAAAATTTCACTTCTTTGGAGTCACTGGAGATTGTTGAGTGCCATAGTCTTGTCTCTTTGCCAGAGGACATTCAAGGTCTGAGATCTCTTCGGTCTCTATCCATTGAGAATTGCAATAGCCTCACATCTCTGCCACCAGAACTTCAATTCCTCACATCACTCGAGCATCTAACCATCATGTACTGTCCAAAACTGGCTAATTTGCCTGATAATATGCAGCATTTATCTGCTCTTAGAAGTTTATCCATTTTAAACCTTCCAGAGCTGTCATCTCTTCCACAGGGCCTGCAATATGTCACTAACTTGCAAAATTTGGAAATTCGTGGCTGTCCTGGTCTAGAAGCATTGCCAAATTGGATATCCAACCTTACCTCGCTTCGATCATTGGCATTGTCAGAATGTCAAAATTTAACATTTCTACCCGAAGGACTACAACATTTAAATTCCCTTCAACATCTATCTATTCAAGATTGTCCTATCCTGGAGGAACGATGCAGAAGGGATATTGGTGAGGATTGGCCAAAAATAATACACATAGCTTATGTCTATATTGGATCACAGGAAAGCAAGGATCACAGTGCAGCAAGCAGCTCAAGAGCTCATTGAATTGGTCATGCTTCATCATTCAGGTATGTAATTCTACTCAAATAACTCGTTTGAATTTGGACTTCCTTTCTTTCTTTTAATAATGACATTTAGTTAATATAGTCCTTTTAGCAAAATCTACAATTAAGGAGATGCTTCGGAAACAATTATAACAATTGTATTGTAAATCAAACTACACAAAATTGCAGGTGCAAGCAGTACATATAGACAGTTGCTTGTGATGGAGTTACTTGTTTCCCAGCCTTGTCTTCAATTTGTGTTTGGATTTGCAGTGTAAAGATTTTGTCTTCTTTTACTCTGCTTTGAAGTAAACGACAGGTGCATTTACCTAATTAATGCGTTTCTCATGGTTTGTACTAATGGCTTGCAAAGTGATGGCACAGAGTGCTCCTCTCACTGATGTTATAAACGCAGCAACTTTGAGTTAAAACGATAATAATAAATTTTAATTATGGATTAATTTGCAATATTATCAACTAATTATTACTTATGTCCCTTTTCAGTAAATTTGTTTTTAATTGCATTTCAAAGTAGCAATTTTAACTAAACATACAGACACTGCATAATTATTATATAGCAGATCTTGAATTTCTTTATCAATTTTTGAATTCAACAATTTTGGTTTTGATTTGCTGTGGGAGACAAATATAAATAAGAAATCACGATATTGAAAACCTTAATTCAGATATTGAAAATTTAAAATTTTTTAATTAATTTTGTTGTGAATTTTTTAAAATATAGATAAACACTCTACTACTAGACTCTATTATTTAAATACAATGAAATTAAAATAAAATTTTTAAATATATTGGAGATGATGGTGTGCACTTATTTGGAATATTTATACATTGTTTTATTTGACTAATATCATATAAAAAAGTTTTTCTTTTTTTAATCTAATGAAATATTATTTAAAAATACGCTATAAAAAATTGAATTCATGAAAAAATGGCTATTTAGGCATATTTGTTATCTTTTTCATTTTTATTTTTTCTATATTAAAGATGAAATGATGAAGAAATTCAAGAGCTCTCTTATTATTCAATATTTCATTTTTTAATTTATGGAATTTCATTTATTTATATGGTTTAATTGGATGTATTTTTTAAAAATATTTTTTAAAATATATATAAAGATAATTAGACCTTTGATATTTTAATTTGTTTTAAAATAAATATACAGCTTTGAAAATTTTTTAGTTTAACCTCATATATATCTATTTATAAATTTTGGATGATTTTCCATTACCAATATTATTGCTTTTGCATTGATTTTTAAGTTACATATTAACATTTATTTATGTCATTTTGAAGTCATTTTTAGTAAAGAAAAAATATTTAAACAATTGGAATAAAGGCATTACATGTTAAATATAAAATTAGATATTGTAAAATTTTTAGTTTCCTTTAAATATGCTTTTAATTTAATGAGTAAAAATACTCTTTTTTTCAACGAGTTTAAATTTTTAGCACTCTTTTTGAAATAATAGTCTTTTATTTTTTATTTTATAAAGTATATTTATTAAAAGAGAGAAAAATAGTTTATATCGTTAATTTTAAACGAGTAAAAATACATCTTAATTTTTATTATTTTTAATCAAAATAAATAATAATGTAAAATAATGAGTACAATATTAAATATTACTTATTATATTTAAAGTATGTATTTTAAATAAAATCAAACTCAAAAGCAAATATAAATTAAATAGATAAAAATCTCCTAAGCATTTATACTACATTAACTCAACTTGAATAACTAAAAAAAAAAAAACACAAATCTAATTTAGATAATGATTATTAATATAATGTTTGTTAGGATTAGTGCTTTAAAAAGAATACATATGAAAAATGCTATTTTAAAATGGAGAAATATAAATTTCAGTTTCTTTTCAATTAGATGTTAGAGTACAAGACATGTAGCAAAAAAAAAAAAAATTTCATTGCGTAGATAAAATGCAATATAAATTAATCATTGTATTTATTATAATATAAATAAGAACTTGTACTTTAATATTATGTAAATAAAAAATTAAACGAGTTAAAATAAGTATAACGAGTAAAGTCAACGTGCAGTGCACGTCATGAAAGAAAAATTAATTTTATAAAAATGTACAAAAGTGAATTTATGCGAATAATAAAAAGAATAATTTTAGACCTTAACGCTAAAGAGCCTATTCGGCAGTTTTTAGTATTTTGACTGTAGTTAAAAATATATGTAACAACTGTTACAGGTTAGGGGTTAAATCCTTTAAAGTTTAGCCTTTTAAATTTTATTATTTACACTCTTATCTATGTTTTCTTGAATTTGGTACTCTTATTATTTATTTAATTTTTCTTTTTCAAATCTCAAAGAAATGTATGCCATTTTAATTATTTAAATATTTTATTTCTATTGTCTTAAAACAAGGATAAGAGCATATCTTAAAAAAAAAAAAAAAAAGAGTATGTTGTCAAAATTAAATGAAAATTAGAAAAGAATTTTTTTCCTCATATTTTCATTTTAATTTTATAAGAAATAATTTTTTGTTATAGAAGAAATTGAAATAAAAAAGATAATAATTTAGAAAAGAAAAAAAAAAACGCTTGTTATTTTTTATTAATTACTCAATTTCAATTCTATGGCCAATATTCTAAATTTTTTGGCATTTTAATTCAGACAATTAATCAAACGTCTATTTTTACTAAACAATTTTACTTTAAACCATACATAAATAGCTAACAACTAACAATTAATATCTAACAACTACTAAAACAGTTAAAAATTATTAAAACAATTAACAGCTATTGAAATAATTAATATTGCTCAACATACTCTGTCTTCTCTTAATAAATCAAAATGACGTAGGAATATTCATGAAATTAATTATGATCTCCGTCTTACTGCGGTTATCCGTTTTATTAAATCACAATTATTTCCTCCAAGAATTGAGGTTAATGATGTCAAGCCACGTGGCGACGGGTTTCTATTCACACAGGGATTATAGAGGTGGGTATCTAGCAAATTCAACCCATTTGAATAATACTTTTAATTAAATAAATAAATTGATTTATTTTGAATTAACCAAATATAATTGAATAATTTTGGTTGAAATAATTTTAATTATTAACTGCACTGAAATTAAAAAAATTAAAACATAATTAATCGATGTATTTAATCCAAATTTGTGATAAACTGATTTTAAACGAAATAAAAACAATCAAAATTACTAAAATAAAAAAGAAAATTCAGTTTGATTAATTTTTAACGGATGATTACAAATCTAATTTTCTTTAACTTAAGATTAGCCCAATATATATTTACGAATCAAATTGGTCAAATTGAGTAAATTAAACTATCTTCAGCAATAATTTTTAAACTATCATTTACTATTTTGATCAAATTAAAATTTTATTTCTATTAACTGTAGTATTCGATTTTTAGAGAATGAGAGAACTTTTTGTGCAATGTTAACAGTTATATAGCTAACAATTACTACAACTAGCTATGTAGCTATTAGATAAAAATAAATAGCTAACAGTTAAATATTAAAACTAATAAATAACAGCTAACAACTATTAATGGGTAATGGTTGTGTTCGGCAACAATAATTCTCTAAGTAGCTTTTAACATTTATCTATTATAGTGTTTGGTAACATAACGTTCGATTTTAACTTTAGGAAGTTAATATAATGTTTTATAGTTAATTATAACAGTTACTAAAAACAATTAATATTACCGAATAGACCATTAATAGAATTTGGTTTGTTCACCCCTAAGGAGCAGCGGTATTACTGATAAGAATATAAATACAGCAAGGATAATGATTTTCCTCTTAAATTATTATTTTATCTTTAGATATTGTTACAAACAATAACCACAACCAGCGCACGTTAGCGCGGAGCCTTTAAAATTTCTGTAAACTACGGTTCATCCACAAAACTGAAACCCGTGTCGATCCATCTATATATATTAATGACTGACAAAGCCCTACCTTCGGAAACGAAGTCATCACTAAAAATCACTATTTTATGAAAAATCCCGCTGTTTTTCAATCTCTGATTTCCACGCTCATGTTGTTTCCGGTGAAAGCTCACCACTCTTCTTCAAAACCCTAAAACTGTCTCTGTAGATTGTTGACCAATTTATAATCAGACATGGCTTTGAGGGACCAAGCGCTATCTCTTCTCACTGCAGCGAACAACCATGGCGATTTGGCGGTTAAGCTCTCTTCTTTAAGACAGGCAAAGGACATTCTATTGTCAGTCGAGCCGTCTTCAGCTGCCGAGCTTTTCCCTTACTTGACCGAACTCCAATTCTCACATGAGAGTCTCGTTCGAAAAATGCTTGTCGAGTCAGTTCAAACCCTAATTTATACTTTTATCGAATTCCTTGTGGATATTTTTTTTTTCTGTTTTAAGTGTGGAATTTGGGTACTCATTGTGTGATTTAACATTGCATGCTCTTTATTTTTTATTTGTTCTCTGATTTCTTGCAATTTGCTAATTCTTTTTAAATGCTGTTTAGTTTTGTTCCTCTCAAATAGCTAGCATTTAATGCACAGGCGCCCTTTTCTGTTCAAATTAAGCTTTTGATTTAATACTGTCGGTAAATTAAATCAATTTGTGAGATATATTGTTTTAATACCGATTACTGTAGATAAATTTAATTGATGTTGCTTTGGAAATTTCCTGGCATGCTTTGAGTTTTATTAAGCTCTGTTTCTCTTGGCTGGCAGGATAATTGAAGAAATTGGCTTGAAAGGAATGGAGCACTGTTCAAAAAAAAAAAAAAAAAAACAAAAAAAAAAAGGAAAAACTCTCTTCCTGGAATGGAACTGAAAATATGAACCACCTTCGGTTTATTTTGATCTTGGTTTTGGATTATAAGTGAATTGATTTTTGGGTATTAGTTTTAGTTTTACTTACAATGCCTGCTTTTTAAATGTAGGTTTGATTTAATTAAATGGTGTTGCAATAATGTGCAAATTTTCTTTCTTTTTTTAATTTGGTCATTTGTAATATATGCTATTGGAAACACATTTTGCTCATTTTTTTTTCATCCTTATCAAACTTAGCTTTATATATTTTGACTGGATTCCCTCATTATTATCCTCCTTTAATCTTGCATTTGTAAATAATTTCAGTATCATCGGCGGGGTAAAGTGGATCGATGGCTAGAAGAACTATGGCTATGGATGCTTAAGTTCAAGGATGCAGTGTTTGCAGTTGCAGTGGAGGTATATAATACTCTTCGCAAAATTAACTTAATGCAATTTTCCCCCTTTGAAATAATGCCTGGTCCTGGTGATTATAAGTCATCTTCTTTGCCCCCCACTTCCTTTTCAGAAGATGTGGTTCTTCATTACAGTAAATTTGTGTTACAAATTATCAATTCATTAATCTGTACATCCTGAAAGCTGTATAAGCAATATATTTGTGTGATAATTCTACATATTAACAGATTGTATAGTAGAAAGTTCTTCCTTTTTGTGTGATTAGATGAAGAAGCTGTTGATGAGAAAAATTCTAGATTTACTTTTGAAACTGGAATTCTCTTGATCAAGAACAGCTACTATAGTTTTCTTGTTGACATCCATGTTTAATGGCTTCTGGGGAAGGCATTTATTAGACTTTCTAAAAAACTGGTTCAGTTTGGACACTGGAAGATATCTGGGCTTGTAGAACTGTATAATCTGATCACTAAGCATTTGAAATCTTTTGCTAATCTTTTCTATTTATATTTTTTAACTTCCCTGCAGCCTGGTTCTGTTGGTACAAAGTTGCTGTCATTGAAATTTTTGGAAACATATATATTGCTTTTTACAGCTGACACCAGTGATTCTGAAAAACTTGTTACTGAAGGTATTGGATTCTGACCTTTAAGAGTTTAGATAGAAGTTTTATATGAGATGATATCACAATTGCATGTCCTTTTTGAGTTCTGTATTTTACTTTTAACAAATAACTGTCATTGCCTGCTGATTTGGCTCTACTTATCACAGGAAGTAGGCGCTTATTTAATGTTTCTTGGCTGGCTGGTGGCCATCCTGTTTTGGATCCAGTCGCACTTATGTCAGATGCAGACCGGACTCTTGGCATTCTATTAGACTTATTACAGATTCCCAGCAGTTGTCCTGGTCCATTGACTATTGCTGTTGTCAATTGGTGAGGCTTCACATACTAATCCTTAAATTATCTCGATACTTGCATTTATACTTTCTGATTAGTTTTTCCATAGATTCCTTCCTATTTCCTTTTTCAATTTGAAATCATTTTATAGGAGTTAGAGCGTTTGTTTTGTGTTTCTCTAACTTATAATGCATATCTAGGCTACATTTTACTATTTATACATACATCAGATATATTTAAGCTTCCACAAATTATAGATGCTTTTAAGCACACAAATGATTCTTTATTGTTCCATTTATGTGTTTCTGGTCATTTTTGCAAGGTCTTGAGTTGCTATCAAACTCAGATATGTAAGAGTTGAGCTGTGTTTCTGTTTTTCTCTAGCTTTTGCTTTCTATTTCCTTAAACCTTCAAACCGATATTTTATTTCTCTCATTTTCATAAGTTTGTGAACGCTCATTATCTGATCCTTAATTCAGCATACATGGTTGCTAAAAACCTTAGCTAAATTTTCAGTAGTCTTAAGAAATTTTGGTATGGGTTGACCTTCCAAGTTTTTGTATTATCACATTTCTTTACTCAGAGCTGCAAGTTTGAATAACTATTTTTGCTATTAAATTGTTAGGTTTGTTAATGAACAGTCATTTGTGTTTAAAGTCTGGCCTGCATTTTATCCATCTTACCTTTTGGGACATCACAAAGTTCTTGCCTCCTTAATTTTTAAAATTGAACAATAAATACTTGAATAGGATGTGGTAATTTTCAAATTGATGCTATCTTTTCTTTTTGCATATTTTATTGTTTGATTTGCCTTATTAGTTCCTTGACATTTTCTTCTGTGGTCAACGGCCATAACTTCGAATTGAATCCCTTTGTTCAGCTATGCTGAGACATGGTCTGCCATCCGCTGTTTTACTCTATTAGTCTTTGTTATTTGTTTTCATTTGGGCTAACTGACTTAATATTTGGTTTCTATTTAATAGATGATTTAAATGGTTTAAAAAGTACATTTTCTAGTGAAGCTATTATATTGTTGTCTTATGGAAGAAACTTATGAAATCTATATAGCTGTTTCTGGTCTTATATTTACAGTGTTATATGACTTTAGAGTTGCTAACATATTAAAAATACCATCACCTTGCACACTTTACCTCAAAGATTAATAGTGATTAACTGCAAAGGAGAGCGAAGAGAGAATTGGCAGAGCTAAGCATATGGTAGAAATCTCACCTGGTCATTTATCCACCTAGCATGCATTATTTTATTCCAAAGGTCATATGCTATGTTTTGTTGAAGATGTAAGTGTTTGTAATATGCCTAGATTTTTTATGCATGCTTACGTTTATAGTGTACTTATTATGCATATTATACCATATATCATGTGATAATGTAGTCACTTTGGAACTTTCTTTTGGTCTGGTTATGACATTAATATGGCTGTATAATTTTGTTTTGTGGTTTTCTGTACCCAATAAATATTCTGATACTTGTGGATTGGTATGCCATTTTGTTTCCCCTTTCACCCACCCCTTACACCTGTTGTCCCCTGGCGGGGAAAAAGTGAAGAAAGGAACAAGAATAGATTGTGGAAGGTCTATATGCTCTGAGTAAATGTGCTTTTGTTTACTCATCTGAAATCTTTTCAGCCAAATTGTTTTTTAGATCTTGTCTTAATTCCAAGCAGGATATGAACTACTTACTTACATTTCTAGTGTTTCATATGCAGACTTGAAATTTGATTTCAATAACTGTAAACATGCCTTGTATATTCCTGTTACTGATTTGTCAAGCATCATCCGATTAATCAAGGCCTTAAAATTTTCTACATATTGATATAGGGAGTAAACTACATGTTGCCTTAAACTTACACTATGTTGAAAATTTTGGAGGGATAACTGAAGCTTGGAAACAGGTTGTAGTACAAGTTCAACTGCTTGTTTGTGGTGTGATTGCAGCATGCTGACCAGCTCTCCTATGAGGAATCAGGGCTTGGATACTGCTGAATGATGGTTCAGATAATGGGAGTTACAGGGCTAGACAATTTTCTCATTGTTTGGGTACTTTTCAGCACAAGTGGCCAGTGATACTTATGGTTAACTGATGGTAAAATTGTCATCCCAGGTGCTGAGAGAGACTGGGTTGTCAAGCAAGACAGTTTATGCTTTGTAAACTGTTAAAGGGCCATTTACTTTACTGTTGTTTGAGTTTTGGCACTATATGTGCATACAGCTGATAATATCCAAATTGAAAATGTATTATTGTTCTGTTACATTTGATACACATTTAATCCTTAAGAAATTAAAAGTTCTTTTAACTGGGGATTACCTTCTATAATTCTCTTCTCCATTTGTTATGGTTTGAACTGGCCATCTTACTTGTCTTACTAGCCTTGCATTCTTTTTGGGAAGTTTTATCTATTTACTTACCAATGAAATCTCAGCCTATATACTGGATGGTTCTCCTCTTTTAGACTATTAGCTAAATATGAAGTTGATTACCATGCTTTGGGAGTTTGCAAGGTAGAGTTTGGCTTTCATAGACCTTGCTCCATCCACAAAGCCTTGATATATAGTATAATAAAGAGCACTTGCATTTTTATAGTTATTATTCAAATCAAGGTTCTTTTAAGTATAATAAATTTATAATAAAATAAGCACTTGCATTCCTACTGATCTGTCAGGAGCTTGAAGAAATAATTTAAGCTATGATGTGCTTGTAACAGGAAAAAGAAGTTTCTAGAAATGAGGCCACTAAGCAAATTCTCATTGCAACTCTATAAATTGCCATGTAAATTTGGTTGCAATTTTTAAAATAATTGAAGTTATGAACTATGTGAAGCAAAAATTCAACCTTTTTGAGTACCAAATGTCTTTTTGAGGTTCAATGTAAGGACTTGTGTCGAGTTTTCAGCAGCACATAATCACATGGAGAACATAGAACATTGTGCAGTTATAATATGTTTCTGAAACAAGGGACAAGAATGGAAGCCATGTTGTCGATTGATTGCCAAGAAAATTAACTAAAATTGATATTGATGTTTTCTTTTTTTTTTTTTTTTTTTTTTTTTATATGTGAGATGGTGTTTCGGTTTTTGATTTCTTTTTTTTTTCTTTCTCTAATGGTGATGTGACTATGGTTTCTTTCTTTGCTGCTATTAGGGTAGCCATGATGGGTCTTGTTTGTGGTACATTAGATGATCAATAAGGTGTTGTAGCTCACTGCAAAGCGATATTCACTTAAGTTTATCAGTAGGTTAGTGTACACTACCTGCAAGGTAAAAGGTCGTATGTCTTCATTAGTTGTTTAATATTCTTCACATTCTGAAGTAGAAGCCACCTCTTTTATCTTATGTGCACTTGGCGTATGTTCACTTCATCATAGATGGTTTTTGTTTACTTTTTACTAAAAATTTTGCGAACTTTCGATGGCAACGTTTGTTTGTTTTGAGTTGAAAGATGACACAGTTGATTATGAACTTGTTATCCTCTCACTTTCTTTTGGGTGGAATTACGATTTTACAATATGGGATACTGTAGTGCTATGAACTTGCCAATGGATGTTCTTGGATCGCGGTTGATGTCCCTAGTCTCAAGTTTACCTTTAGATAAAATATAATTCAGTTTGCGGGATGGTCAGAGGCTGACCATATCCATAGGCGCTTTTATATTTCAGCTTTTCAACCTGTTTGTTTAACCTGAGATTTATTATTGCACTATGGAAATGTGATTTAATTCAGTTCTCCTTAAGTAGGCCCATGGCAAACTAATCAGGCGGTCTGTTGTCAATACATTTTACTTGTCTTATCTTGCATCTTTCTTGTTTCCTTGGTTGGGGAGGATGAATAGTAATGCGACATACTTCTTTGTGACATGGAGGAACTTAAGTTATGAAATTTAAGCATGCTTCTCAGACGGTTAGTATATACAGTACTATCTGGCTCATTTCTGAGGGATTTTGGGCTATCCAATATCTCTCTGTGTAACATGGTATATTTGCTATTTTCAGTTATTGCTTTGGCTTCTTTGTCTTTTGAGTATTCCATTTTTCCATCTTGGTGGGTTGGTTAATTGGTTTCAAGGGTCCATTGTAGGAGTTGCTGACTTTCTAAGTCTTTATTTTATGATTTGTACTTGTTAAGTCTTTAGCAGTTACACAAGTCCATTTATTTATGTGTTAGCTACACAGTGCTCGAGAGTGCATGTTGACTTTATGGTTCTGTTATAGTTGACTCAGTTATGTCAAGATATTCATATTCAGTTAATCGTCTTCGCCTCGACGTTGTCTAATTAGTCTACCAGAAGGCGCTTCACTTACCCTAGATGGGCCCTGAGGACAACAGGCCTCAGGCTTCACAATTTGGTGACTTTAGTTGACTATTACGCATGCGATAGCTTAAATAGAAGAGCTGTTAACTGCCTACGATCGTGTAGGCAATCACTCCATAACACACGGCCACACTGAGCAGAATAGCGAGTGGACGTTGAGAAATTTGAGATCCTTTCCAGTTTTGAAGGACCTTGACATGAGGCCATAACCATGTAGCAGACCCACTAGCCTCTATCTGCGAATGATAGTTGTAAATGATGTGGGAATTAACTTTTGGAGGAATTACTCCCGATAAAATTTGTATAACAAAGTAGCTATCTGTAATATTTACACACTTTTCATAAATCTAGCACTTATACAGAGGACTGTTGCGAGAAATGTATAAAATAAATCATATCTACGTTGACCGAATAAATTCTGTAGCTCTACATGAAACTTTTAATTATTTCTCCTATGAGTATATTAAGTATAAAGGCAGATGAAAGAATTGCTCAAGATTTATGCTGTAATATCTCTATTAAGCCAATAGGACTGAATAAAGTATGAATAATTATCGAGCACATATATGATAGAGAGAATATGCTCTGTTTGCTATTAATAGCCGCTTCCAGGTCATTTGTTGTTTTTTTTTTTTTTTTTTTTTTTTTCTAATTATGTATATGTTTTTTCTTGCTATTGGTAGCCATGATGTCTTTTTGTGGTACATTAGATGACAAAAAGGTGTTGTCTCACTTGCAAAGATATGTCACTGAGTTTATCATAGGTAGTTACACTATGCAAGTAAAAGTGTATGCTTCATTAGTTGTTTAATATTTTACATGAAGTAGAAGCACCCTTTTAGGCATGGCATTGCGTTTCATCATCATAGATGTTTTTGTTACTTTTACTAAAAATTTGGAACTTTGATGAGGTTTTGGTTTGTTGAGTTGAAAGATGAATGATTATGAATTTTTTATTCTACTTTTCTTTTGTTGATTGATTTTACTATGATACTGTATTGCTATGAACTTGCAATGGATGTTCTGATGCTTGATGTCTAGCTCATTTACCTTTAAAAAATAATTTCAGTTGGGATGTCAAGGTGACATATCCATTTAGGCGCTTTATATTTCAGCTTTCAACTGCTGTTGTTTACCGGGATTATATTGCACTAGGAATGGTATTTAATAGTTCTCCTTAAGTAGGCCTATGGCAAAACAGGCTTCTGTGCAACATTTACTTGTCTATTTGCATCTTTTTGGTTCCTTGTTGGGGAGGATGATAAGTAACGACATCTTCTTTGAATGGAACTTAATAGAAATTAAGCATGCTTTCGACGGTTGGTTATACAGACTTCGGCTCATTTCTGAGGATTTTGGTATCCATATATTCTGCTGTGTAACATGTATATGCTATTTTCAGTTTGTGTTGGCTTCTTTGCTTTGAGATTCCATTTTTTGGTAATGGTTTCAAGGGTCCATGAGATTGCTTGCTTTCTAAGTCTATTATTTTATATTGACTGTAGTTTAGCAGTACACAGGACTTTATTTATGTACTACAAGTCTCAAGTCTGTTGATTATGGTCTGTATGTTGATCAGTTATGTCAATATTCTATTCCCAGAATCTTTGTGAGTTGTTTAATGTTACCAGAAGGGCTCCTTCCTAGATGGGCTAGAACAGCTCATACATTGTGATTTCTTGAGATAGTATGAAGAGCGCAGTGATGATCAATACAAATAGAGTCTTGAATTTGGATCTTTCAGTTTTGAAGCCTTGACAGGCATACCAGGTCAGATTTTCTGAAAGTGAAAGATGGGAAACTTTGGAGGAAGATGATATTTGTAGCAGTGATTTTACACCTATAAATCTAGATTTACAGAGGACTGTCGAGAATGTTAAACTTTCTTGACCAATAAATTGTGCTCATGAATTTTATTCTCTAAGTTATAGATAAGAGAAGAATTGCTCAAGATTTTATGCTGTAATTCTCTAAGAAGGAGATAATGATTATGGCAATGATAAATATGTTTTTATAAAGCGTTCCAGGGTCATTGTGAAATCTAAATTGTTTTCTTCAAGATTTATTATTTTTGATATTGGATGTGCTGGCAGTTGTACTAGAGTTGAGGTTTTAAATTGTGGTTGTGCATGCAGACATGCGCGGTGGAGACATGTAACTCTGTCATGGCTTATGTGTACTAAGTTATTTGAAGTATATCGACTTCTGCTGTTAGGATTTTATTGATGTACTAAGTTATGGCTGATATTTAAAATCATGACTAGGGTGATTGCAGTGAGTTGATTATTGTCCTGTAAATAAAGAAGTTAGAATGCAGCACACGATGGAAGTTGTTGTTTTTGAAGACTTGGTGCACCATGGACTGCATATCATTGGGTGTGATAACTTTTTGATTCCTTTGGGTAATTATTGTAATGGTGTTCCTGGTAGCACCTTTCGAGTTGGAAATAAATGAATGTGTCACCGACCTTCGGGGATATTACATGTTATTTTTTTCTTTTATTTCAAAATTGCACGCCTTTGTAGCATAAAATATCCGTGCTCCAAATATTTGAACCACTATGGGATCTTCCTGCTAATGGGCCTTGTATTAGATAATGTGGACGGATGCTATTACTGAACTGTTGAATGTAGAAGCATGGTTATCATGTTGTAGCAGTTTATTGAGAGCTATGAGAAAGTTTGGGATGCCATGGGGCATTACGAGATATTTATAAGTATTAAGTATGGGGAATTGGGAGTCAGTTGTCATCTCATCTGTACTACATGTTCCATGTATCTTGTTTCAAGCACTGTTGTTGGATACCTTGTCCTGATACTTAGATAATTGGAAAAATGAATCCTGTATCTAGTACATTTTTCCTAACAAATATATAGTTTATCTTAATCTTGTTGCTTCGTTCAAACCTCATAAGCCCGAGTGTGAATGTGTGTTATGTTAATTCTTCCTTTTAATTTAATTTGTTGTCGTTTTGGTCTCCTGCTCTGTTCTTTTGTCTGTGATTAATCTCTAGTTACAATGTATAGTTATATTTCTATCATTTTCTTTTTCGTCTAATGACATACTTATCTATTAACAGTCTTGCAGCTATAGCAAGGAAGAGGCCAGTCCACTATGGCACTGTTCTTTCTGCATTGCTTGATTTTAACCCAAAATTTGAGATGTCGAATGGGTGTCATACTGCCAGCATCCAGTATTCCTTGAGAACTGCCTTTTTGGGATTCCTGCGGTGTACACATCCGGTCATATTTGAGGTAAAGTACCTTCAGTTTGCATTGCTCATGTTTTGAATTGGGTTCATATCTGTTTCCTACCTACTGATTTTGCTAAATTGAACTATTTTAAAACTACTTCTTGCAAGTTGTATTTTAAATGAATGGGGCTGTAAATATTCAAATCAGCTCGTGTTACTCAATATGGCCCTTGAATGTGAAATGTCTGCTTCATGTATTACTGGGCCATCATAACTCCTCGTTATGCAAACAGCCAAAAGAAACGCAATATCAGCGAGGAGAGTTATGAGGATGAGAAATTGATGTAGAAAAGGAAGCCTTGGGATTCTAGGAGAGTTGGGATAAAAGAAAAGAGTGGGCTCACTGAAAATTTCTGGATTCTACTTCCTAGTTAGTTTAGAATTTTGTTTGCTATTTCTATTAGTACTTATTTTAGAATTGCATACAATTTAAATAGACTTTTTATCTTTATTTTAAGCAGACTGGAAATTTAATAAACAGTATTTTCGTCAAAATTGTTTGAGTTTTGAAATTTGTTTCAGGTTATAGTCGCTTGCCATTTCCTCACATTTGCTGCATTATCAATTGCAAAAAGTAATAGGAGAACCATAATGTTCATTCTGAAGATCTTTGTTAGAAATCAACTTCTCTTTCTTACTTGAATGGTATCATCTCCTTTTTGTTTTAATAAGTAAATGACCACTTCTCTTCTCTCATTCATTGAATAAATGTAGTAAGTGAAAATCCAAAGAAGGTCCTTCTTAAGCAAAAAGTTCCTTAAACCCAAAGGGTGATATGAAGTTTTGTTAATACAGCTCTTTTGGGAACATTTCTTTATCGTAAAAAGTTAGAGGAATTGATGCATTAGGTCATTAATTATTAAGTTTAGTGGCTTCATAGTTGTGGTGCTGTATACATGGCCTTGTGAGTGGCAATTTATAATTTTCGTTTGGTTTCTTTCAGTCAAGAGATAGATTGCTTCGGGCTTTACGAAGTATGAATGCTGGGGATGCTGCTGACCAAGTTATCCGTCAAGTAGATAAAATGATTAAAAATAGTGAGCGTGCATCACGTGAATCCAGGTTCAGCAGGGTAATTTCTTGAATACGGCCTCACAATTTTTATTTGATTGTTTGAATCCAGTAGCTATTGTAGCAGAATTCCTATTTTTCCACTGAATTTAACTTCTCCTATATAGGATGATCAAGTATCAAACCAGCTGCCAGTTTTGGGAGATCAGCTAAGAAAAAGGTCCATGCCTCTGGATAATGAAGAGCTAGCTAATGGTCATGAGGTGTCATCCAAGAGAATTCGTTATGTTTCTAACATCTCGTCAACAATACCCGTGCCAAATGATTCTGAGGATGATTCTGTAGCAACCAATGGAGTATCCTCTAGTGCTGCTTTATTAGATAGTGATTTGACTCCTGCAGAACAAATGATAGCTATGATTGGTGCATTGCTTGCTGAAGGAGAGAGAGGAGCTGAATCACTTGAAATTCTCATTTCAAATATTCATCCTGATCTGCTTGCTGATATTGTCATCACTAATATGAAGCATTTGCCTAAGAACCCCCCACCTTTGACGAGGTCTGGAAACTCGCCAGTAATTCGTCAAATTGGTTCTCTAAGCAGTCCAGCTCAAGTTGTGGCACCATCTGCTCCTACAAATTCTTTTTCTTCAGTTTCCAGTGCACACTTAACATTTTCTGCAGTAGTCACAAACAATTTGTCACTTTCTGATACATCCACTATCAATAATTTTCCTGTCGATTCTAAACGTGATCCAAGAAGGGTAAAGCACAAATCCTTGTGATACTTTCTTTTCTGTGTAATTTCAGTTTATCAGAATAACTTATAGATCCGTTGTATATTATTACTTGTGATTATTATAACTTGTTTACTTTGAAATAACTTGCTTGTAATTGTTTCCAGGATCCACGTCGCCTGGATCCACGACGTACAGCAACAGCTGCTGGAATAGCATCCATGCCTGTTGCAGATGATACTGTTGCCACAGAACCTGAATTTGATGGTTCTGTTTCTTTGAGTAATGCTCTTTCACTGGCTGCAACATCTGTTGAGAACCCTCCTGCGGTTCTGATATCAAAAAGTGAAAATGATGACAAACCTCTAGAAAGTAAACTGGTGCCTGACAATCAATTAAGTTTGAAAGAGGAGATTTCCAGCAAACCTGAGGAAATTTTCCCCACTTCAGAAGTCAAGGCTTCTTCAGATCATACTATTTCTCCTCCCCACAATGTTGAGGAGGACTTTGTTGCCTCGAAGTTATCAGATATTGAAGTGGCACATGGGGCTGATTCTGCATCTTTGATGGAATTAGATCCACATTCTCCAACTGTTTCAAATGCATCTATGCCTGAAGAAACCTGTCAGGAGTTACCTCAGCTTCCACTTTACATTGAACTAACTGAAGAACAACAAAGAAATTTGAGAAAATTGGCTGTTGAACGAATTGTTGAATCTCACAAGCATCTGCCTGGATCTGATTGTAGCATGACACGCATGGCTTTACTTGCTCGATTGGTTGCTCAGGTAGGGGCAACATTTTTTTTGATTGTTGAACGCTTTTTAAACGTATCATTCTCTGACTGTTCATTGTTCTTATGCAATTATCCTTCTCTTGGATTCTTGTGATGTGAGAGTTGGTTTTATCAAGTTTTGTAAATTAGTTCACTTGTTTCATGTAATGAATGAGACCTAGTATAATAATTGAATTTGGATTCTTGATATTGTGTGATTCTAATGATTTAAGGTTTGTTGTTCCCACTTCTTTTGTAGCTATTGTTTCATAATATCTTCATCAGAAATAAAATGTTACAACTGATTGCAGCCTTAGTGCATGATGGTACAGTGCTGAAAAAAAGCTGAACCAAGAATATTTAGAATAAAATCCTGGGATGAATCTAAAAAGCAAGTCTATTAGCAGAACGCAAAATAAAATTGATGGACACATAATTCCTTAAGAAAGCCATAGAATGTCCAATGTCATCAAAAGCCTGCTATTTCTCCTTGCCCCAATAGCATTGAGAATCCTTACCAGATCAAGGTCTTCACAATCTAGCACTCAAACTTAACCTTGTCAATCTTGTATAACTCAGAAGACCATTTACTGCATGCTGTGGCTCGTGGATGATGAATGAGGAGACTGCAAACCAATCCTGTATTGTTTGCACAAGTTACACTGACAAACAACCTAAGTGTTTTTCTTGACTTGTAGAAAGTTCAATGGTACTAGGAAAGTGGTGAAGTAAAAATTTATACATTTTGAAGTTGATGCTGGAGATTTATTGATAATAAGGACAAGGAAAAACATGTTTACAAATAAGTTATACGTAGTTATATATGTTTTCTCTGTAGATTTTAGTTCCTTTTAGAATGAGACCTTTTTTGCTTATCTTTTATTGCTGTATACAATTGCATTTGCAAATTATATGTCCTTTTTTTTTTTGCTTCTTTCAGATTGATGTAGATGATGATGTTGTTGTGATGCTGCAAAACCATATTACTGTGGATTACCGACAGCAGAAGGTAAATGATTTTATTAACCTTGCAGTTCAATTATTTGTTACATATCTTCTGCAACACTTTTTATTTGCTGTACTGGTGACTCCTCTGAAATTTATTGGGTAAAATATTTCAAGTGTAATAGTCTCTACAGTGGGACTGAAACATGTAATGTGGCATTTTCTGTCTAACCGCTTTCTGGGTTGGTCTGGTAAATGATTATTAAAGCAGGCACTGGAACCTTTTGCCACCATTAACACGTCTTATGACTTCCCTAGGGTCTGTGTGAATTATTTTTATTTGTCTATTGAATTTCTTCGATTACAAATCATGTTTATCTGAAACTTGTGTTTTAATAGCATGTAACAGTTTATGGCATAGCAAGGTTACAAGTTATTTTACACAATTTTAAGATTTGGGAAAATTGCAAGAAAGATTTCTCTGCAAATCTTCTTCACAATTTTCAAAATACCATGAGTTTCTTTTCCTCATTCTATTCTTTATAACAAAATATTTAGAAACATGCTAGAGGATCCCTAAAATGATGGTCTTGTATATCATTTATGTGGAACAACGTGAATAATTTTTCTGTATTGAGTATATACCAAAACTGCTTCTGAATAGCCAGAAGGTGCTAGAACAATGCCCCCATGCTGCTATTCAATTTATGTAAGTCTGTATGATGTTCTCATTTCCCTTTCCAACATATTTTACAATTATATTTTCTTCTCAAGTTTAAATTCATAAAAATAACATATCTGCCTTTTTTTTTTGCATGGAATATTTATAGGAACATGCGTTTTGGTTTGTTGCATCAAGCTTAGCTGGTGTGTTAATTGATTCCAAACAATGTGATAGATAACGTTGTCTTTGCAATTAGAGATCTACAGATTGTTGGTTTTTGATTTGTCATTATGATTCTCTCTCTATAGGCATTACTGTTAGAGGTTCATGGAACGAGATCATATAGCCTTTGCGTTTGTTTCTTTAAATATACTATTTGTATCATGATTCTTTTCATGTTTATTATTGCCATCTTCTGTTTAATGTAACTAAAGCAAGGTGCTATGGTGCTTAGATGAAAACTTAATGCACTGTTGGAGTTTTAAGCTTTGTATTTAGTGTTTCTATACTTCTATATGTTGATGATCTATGGAGTAACAAATGGTTGTTTTGACAATAGAAATGGTTGAACTTTTTTGTCATTTTTTAAAAAATATCTTTTACAAATCGTTTCTTTTCTAACTTGTTCTTTTTTATGGTCAGGGGCATGAGCTTGTATTGCACATCTTGTACCATCTGCATTCTCTCATGATTGTAGATTCAGTTGGAAATTCCTCATATGCTTCTGTTGTGTATGAGAAATTCCTCTTGGGAGTGGTATGTAGCTTTTTAAATGGTTGAACCTTATCTTATTTGCCTGAGAAATAGATTTACATTACTCTCTCATTGTAGGCCAAATCTCTATTAGATGCTTTTCCTGCTTCAGACAAGTCCTTTAGTAGACTTCTTGGAGAAGTTCCACTTTTGCCAGAGTCAGCTTTGAAATTGTTAGATAATCTCTGTTATAGTGATGTTTTGGATTCCCATGGAAAAGAGGTCCGTGATGGTGAGCGTGTTACTCAAGGCCTTGGAGCTGTGTGGGGTTTGATTTTGGGCCGTCCAAATAATCGGCAAGCATGCTTAGATATAGCTTTGAAGGTAACTTGGCCGTGCAAAATCGCATAGCACTAATCTACATAGTTTGATTCTTATGTATGAATATGAAATATTCACTTCAAGTCAGTCGTACTCCTTTCTGAGATACAGTACTATATTTTAATTGTAAATTATTGACTATTGAAACAACAGCAATTGCGAAGGCGCTTTTTCAGTTGCGTTAAAACATATGGGCAGATTTCGCTTATTCAGGAAAAAGAAAAAAAAAAAAAAAAAAAAATTAGATATTAGCTCTCTGTAAATGGTAACTTTGGCGTGTCCAAAAATTCTGCATAGCACTAAATTCTCGACATAGTTTGGATTCTTATGTTAGAATATTGAAATATTCACTTCAATGTCAGTCGTACTCCTCTTTCTGATATCTACTAGTACTATATTTTAATTGTAAATTTATTGACTTATGTAAACAAAGCAATTGTCGAAGGCGCTTTTTCAGTTCCAGTTAAATACATTATGGCGGCAGATTTGCAACTATTCAGAAAAAAGATAAAAAAAAAAAAAAAAAAAATAAAGAAAAGTGTGAAAGAAATTTTGGAGACAAGCAAAACCCCTAATCCGGTTCTCCGGCTTAATACATTTAAAAAAAAAAAAAAAAAAAAAAAAAAAGAAAAGGTGAAAGAAATTGAGACAAGAAAACCCTAACCGGTCTCCGGCTTAATACATAAACTAGTAAAGATTAGGAATGAGAAAAAGAGGTAAAAAAAGTGAAAACTATCTTCCCCTTTAGTCCATCTGTCAATGAGTTATCACTTTTTTTTTTATGCTATTTACTGGACAGATGTTTTTTGGCATGTTAATTTCTGAATTGTGAGACCTCTATATCATGGAAAATTACTTACTGTCAAAATTTTTTTTTTAGATTATTAATTACCTTATTCTTTCGTGTTCCTATTGCGGGGTCCGCTAACATTGGGATCAAGCATGGTACTTCATTTAATATTCAACACAAAGTTGGTAACATCCTGAAAATGCATTAGCCTTTTCTCATGTGAAAAAGGAAAAAGGAGAAACTGGTGAAGCCTTCATGAAACATATTATGGTAGTTTGCAGGGTTATTTAAGCATGTATGAATTTATAAATCACATTTTTTCCTTTTGTATTTCTGTCCCAATCGCAGTGTGCTATTCATTCACAAGACGACATTCGAGCAAAAGCTATCCGGCTGGTATGGTTTTTTTACCCATCAAAACTCTCCACACATAGTTGGTTTGGCTTTTTGTTCGAAAATAAATTCAGTTTCTTCCTTCCTGTGACAATTATGCTATTTCCTATTGTGTGTTCCAATAACCCTGCATCTTTCTATGTTCTGGACAGGTAGCAAACAAACTTTATCAACTGAACTATATAGCAGAAAATATTGAGCAATTTGCAACAAAAATGTTGCTGTCAGCTGTGGATCAACATACTTCAAATACAGAGCTTTCACAGTCAGGTTCCACTGACCAAAGAGAAGGGGAGGTATTTATAATTTACTTCTCTTATCATATTTATCCATCTGTGTAATTTATGTCAAATGTTCAATTCCTTAATTGTCGGTTGACTCCTTTGTGGAGTGAGGTGAATGTGGGATCATACAAGGAGTTGCTGTGGGCCTTTTACTAGAGAGATGGATAAGCTTTCCTCTATATCTAACAGCCGGCATCATGGCTGTCATTCAAATGATACTTCTGATCCCTTCATTCTTATAAGATTGACCTAATTGTATGGTAGCTTACACCTAATACGGACTAGTAATTAAAAAAAATAAAAATAAAAAAGTGCAGTCAGATAGAATGTACACATATTGTGCCTGTTGGAAACTTGGGGACAAATGTTTTGATCTATCAATTTACCTTGATCACTTATCCTCTCCTTTTTTTTCCCTCTGGAAAATGCTCAGGTTGGAAGCCAGGAGACATCAGTCAGTGGTTCTCAAGTCTCAGATACTGTAAACTGTGAAAATAACTCCATGAGGAGTGCACAACCAGCTGTCCAAAATATGTCCATGATATCATTATCTGAAGCTCATCGACTAATTTCTTTATTTTTTGCTTTGTGTACACAGGTTTGTGGTTTTCTGAAAAGTCATTGCAAACTTGATTTTCTGCTTTTTCTTTTATGAAATATGCTGACAAAGCCTTTACCCTGCCAGAGACCTATTCTTCTTCAACTTGTTTTTGACATATATGGGCGAGCACCAAAAACAGTAAAGCAGGTTTCTATTTATTTTTAGTAATTTCTTTTGCAACTCCAGTGATAGAAATGAATGCTTGCTTAGATTTTAGGTTTTCATGTGGAATGATAGTTTAACAGTATCTAACATGAGGCTTAAGTATTCCCCAGTCTTTCCCCAGGATACCTGTCCTCTTTTGGAGTAGATTTGATCTTGTGCCTTGCATACTTCTGGTAGTAAATGTAACTACAAATTCTGTTCATTGACTTCCCTATTTTAACTTGACTTTTGGAATACAGGCTGTTCATCGCCATATCCCTATTCTTATCAGGGCCCTGGGATCTTCTTATTCTGAACTGCTTCGGATAATATCTGATCCACCGGAAGGATGTGAAAATCTTCTGATGCTTGTAGTTTCCTTTTCTGGATTTACTTTGAAATTCTGTTTAATCCTTGAAATTTCTTGCTATTAGGCTCTATTTCTATTCATGGACGATATTGAAATTGGTTTTATTTTCTCTCAAGGTGCTGCAAAAATTGACCCAAGAGACAACGCCATCTGCTGATCTGATTTCTACTGTGAAACATTTATACGAAACTAAGCTAAAGGTTCTATTAGCAACCATATTTTTAATCTTTCCTCTTTCAAATAATTGTCATCTTGATCTTACTGTGGCATATTGTTCTGTTGCAGGATGCTACTATACTTATTCCAATTTTATCTTCACTCTCCAAGAATGAGGTCTGCTTCACTTTTTTTTTTTATTCCTTTCCTATTAATGATGTTGAATGACATATAATTCGCACGTGCTCATTTAGTGGCTAAACCTTTGGAAGTGGGGAGGATGTGACTGGACACTGCAACTAACTTTTTGGTTGATCAAACCAAAGAGAGTGGTATAATTTGGTTTACCAAGACTTAAACCCAGTGGATTTATCTTGTCCTCTAGTTAGTGTAAGATTTAGTGTAAGATCGAGAAATCACTGTCAAAAAGAATCCTGAATTTTGGATAGCTCCTTGAATTTGGCAAATTATTTTAGTTTTCGTAATTTAACACAGAATGAGTGTTGCAAGGAGGGTTCCATTTCAAATTGAGGCTAAAAAGTTAATGTGCTCATTTAGTGTAATTGTTGACCTGGGCATGACATGGAGTAGGATTAGACTATATAATATCAGAAAGTGATGTAGGAGCTCAATTACATGAATTTTGTATGGTTCTTTTGCATTGGGATTCATGTCAATTTCCACATGTTCAGTTCAGTTACTCTTTATATGGCACTCCAGATGATCTCTGAATCTCATGTCCACAACTTCTTTTTAGTTGTAAAATGTGCCTTTTTATTTTTGTATTATTGTTTCTTTTTGCCGCTATAGAGTTGTGTTTTAAATCATTTTTTGATTTCAGGTTTTACCCATATTCCCTCGGTTAGTTGGCCTTCCAATAGAGAAATTCCAAATGGCACTTGCTCACATTTTACAGGTATGTGTGAATGCTTAATGCTTTATATGGTTTTATGTTTTATGAGCTAAGCTACGCTGTTCTGTTATTTAAGCTTTTTCTTTTTCCCTTGTAAATGAAAATTTGCTAACAGTTCATGATTATTTATGGCAGGGTTCAGCTCATACAGGTCCAGCTTTAACACCTGCAGAAGTTTTGGTTGCCATCCATGACATCAGTCCTGAGAAAGATGGCCTTGCACTAAAAAAGGTAATGCATTTTTCTTTGTTCATTTCTAAATTTTGGTAGTTCTGCTCGTAACTTGCAATATTCTTGTTAGCGACTATTGATTCTTTTTTCCCTTTTTTTTTTTTTTAAAAAAAAAAGAATGAAATGAAAATTTGCTAACAGCTTCATGATATTATATGGTAGGTTCATCTCAGCTTTAACACCTGCAGAAAGTCTTTGGTTTGCCATTCCAATTGACATCAGTCACTGAGAAAGATGGCCTCGCACTAACTAAAGGTTAATTTTAGGTAGTTCTGTCGTACATTATTGCAACTATTCATCTGTTTTGTTAAGGACTATTGATTCTTATTTTTCCCTTTTTTTTTTTTATAAAAAAAAGAATGTTGATTCTTTTTTCCCTTTTTTTTTTTTTTAAAAAAAAAAGAATGATTCCTCCTGTTGTCATGTGAAGCCTTCTTTTGGTTACATGTGGCGTTATCTAAGTATTAAATCATCAATTCATACTGATCATTGATCAGTTTGCCAAACCATAGTAGACTTAGGTCAGACCCAGTTCAACCCATCAAATACGGGATATTCTAATGTAGGACCTTCTCAGCCTTTGCTGCTTGTAGATTACTTTGATGGGTCATAAAAGTTTTTTGGGCTATCAGTTAGTTTCTCATTCAATTTAATGTGTTTCTTCAGATAACAGATGCCTGCTCAGCTTGTTTTGAACAACGTACAGTTTTCACACAGCAGGTTTTGGCAAAGGCCCTAAATCAGATGGTATGTAAAAAAGATCATATTCTGGATGATGGACAATATTTAGCTCAATATTTTGTACTGACTATTTTTGTTGCCAGGTTGATCAAACTCCTTTGCCTCTACTCTTCATGCGAACAGTAATTCAGGCAATCGATGCATTTCCTACCCTGGTAACTTTAATGCTTCAATTTCTATATTTATGTTTAAATAGTTATTTTTTTGCTAATTCACGTTTGAGAGAGAGGGAGATACCTCATTAGTGCCTTGCAGCGAAATATTTAAGCCGTTTCAATTTAGAATATAGGGATATATGCCCCACTATCCAATGATAATAAAGATCCTTTAGGGCCCCAACTGTTTGATGCATCATGGAAAATAATATAGTTCTATAAGAAGATTTTCACCCTTTTTATTGACACCATATCTATGTTTTTATGGCCACGAGTTTCAGTTTCAGGTGGAATTTGTAAGATTTTTCATTTTGAGTTGATCTGTTAAGAACCAGGCTGGGTTTCTGCATGGCCCTTCCCTGTTTGTGGTTATGTAGGACATTTCTCTGTTTCTATATAAAGAGTTTTTACTATAGCGCGTGATATTCACAATAGTGAGTATTAAATGATGTGAAAGATCAACTACTAATCATGATAATTTTGCTTGATCTCCAGGTTGATTTTGTTATGGAGATACTCTCCAAACTTGTGAGTAGACAGGTAAGCTGGTTCTCTATTCTACTTAAATTGATAGAAAGGAAATTTGACCATCTTGCTTGCTCAATTATTCTTTTAGAACCCTCATCTTTTGAATATTTGGTATTCAGATCTGGAAAATGCCAAAGTTGTGGGTTGGATTCTTGAAATGTGTCTCTCAAACCAGGCCACATTCTTTCCGTGTATTATTGCAGGTATTACATGGTTTGTGTTTACCATAGATTCCTGTTACTCTTATTTATGTGTTCAAATTACATCTTTGCATGCTACTCACAGTTACCACCTCCAGTACTTGAAAGTGCCCTGAACAAGCACTCTAGTCTCAGAAGCCCCTTAGCTGCTTATGCCAGCCAACCAAGTATCAAAACTTCACTACCTAGGTATGGTTGTCGTGGAGCTTATCTATGAGTCTTTTACTCCTCGGATATCTTTTTGAGGAATTTATTTTAATTATGAAGTGGTTTTTGTTATGGTTTTTTTTCATTTGTGATACTCTTTTGATAAACTATGCAAGTTATTATAGCATTATCAGTTGAATCATGCAATCATTTTGGTTTTTTCCTCCCCTGCTTATTGGCTATCTGCATAGAGGAGTTGATTGCTTGTTCTGTTGGGATAAGCCTGTATTTTGCAGCATATTTGCTGCTAATATCCTGTTTAGTGTAAATGGAGACATTCATTTTGCTTTGCTCCTATGAATTAAATTTTATGTAATTCAACATTGCTAAATCAAAAATTTATCATTTGTAAATGAGTTCTATTCTTCAAAAGTTCATTTATGCTAAACAGGTGTAGAAGTGTGTTTGGAATTGAGTTTTGGTCATAGCTATACTCTTGTGGATGGTGGCACTTAATTTGTGTGGTTCATTTTTTTGACACTTAATTTTGCAGATCAACATTAGTGGTACTTGGACTTGTCAATGAATCGCAAATGCAGCAACCTCATGTGGCTTCTTTACACCCTTCTGACACAAGTTCATCTGTTCGTGGAGCAAATCTTACCTGAGAATAAAGTAGAGAAGAATCAGAAATTGACTAATTGTTCAGCAGGGCACTGTAAAGACCATTCTAGATGTTGGTCTTCATCCATTGGATTGCCCCTATCAAAGGGGAATACCAATTGACTTCTTCAACGGATACTTGACCGCTGACAAATGATACCTGATGTTTGGAAGTCAGCCCTGCAATTGTTCCCTTTTTGGTGAAGAAATTGCCTTAGAAGAATGCTAACCTTCCCCTTACCCTGCTCCTGCAAATGTACCATAGTTCTAGTCTCATTTTTTCTATCAGTTCTTAGTGTAATCTATTCTTTAAAATTTTGATCTTCAATTCCAGCCCTTCTATGGTGCAATGTTGGTTGGCATGTAGAACACGTAGGTGGAGGCATCGACTGTTCTTGTGCTCGGGTTGAAGGGATTAACAAGTGTGGTTCGTAGCTTTAGGTCAGAGCACCATGTAAATTGAAGGATGTCAATATGAAAGCACTGCTGGGTGTATAATCGGAGGGATTTGGATTTGGCCATATTTAAAATAGTAATACCATTTCCTTTTCCTTGTAAAACTGTCTAGTTTCTGTGGCGGCTCAGATACTAAGGATGTTTGGTCTTATTGTCAAGCCTTTGCAAAGGAGTTTTTAACTGGAATGAAAAATGAATTTTACACTGGAGATGCTTCAAGTTCATCTTGTAAATGATTAAATATAATTCAGTGATATTAGAAGTTATTTTTAAGAATAAATAAATACCAGTTTTATTCATACATCTCAACTTAGAATGGCTTCCAGTTTTATTTTTCGCGCAAACCAAATTAGTACCAGTACCACTCGTCCATTAAATCGAGTAATTGGCGAGTACGGAATTTCCATTGATATTCAAATATACAACTGGTAATAGACCAGCGGATTACAGCTGTCAAGACATGTTCAAAGCCAGTTTTATGGACGCGGATTTGCTACCAAGTATTGTACAGGAACGACACGCCCGCGAAGATGGGAAAGTATTATCTGAACCTCCGTAAAGAAACATATAAAAGACAATGGCTCAAATAACATCCCGCCGCCGCTTATTTTTGGCAATCAAAATGTAGAAACAAAAACACTGGCATTGAGATTAAAACTTCTTTTCCCTGAACTTGTTAAAAAAAAAAAAAAAAAAAAAATTTCGTAAAAAACATAGTAAAGTACAATGGATCTTCAAATAAAACTATCTGCCGCCGCTTACTATTTTGGTCGAATCAGAAAATGTGAGGAACAAAAAAACTTGGCATTGAAGCAGTATACTTCTATTTTCCCTGAACTATGTTAAAAAAAAAAAAAAAAAAATAAAAATATTATGATATTCACAATAAATTCTTCCTTAATTTTCAACCATATCACCCTATCAAGTTAGTATTACAGATGACAGTGCGAGGAGAATACAAAATCACAATTTATTAGTACAAAACTATGCAAACAAGTTATCCCTTTCTTTTTACTCGATTCTAGATTAAAGTACTATCAAACTCAACATATAAAGAATATGTAATCCTTCTAAGCAGCAAATATCCTAACCTACCACCAGTACACTCTCCAATTTTTGTTGAGCCAGTAAATTTCCAAAAAAATTAACAATTAATATTTCACCCAACACTGCCCACTTGCAATCTACACAGGACTGCTATTCTGTTGAAGAAAATATATGCCAGGAAAAATTTCCCACAAACAAAAGTAAAGAGGAAAAACAAAACAAAATTCTTTTGCTTCATTTTGGCAATCTATTTTGAACTGTCTTAGCTTGACAACTGATAAGTTGCATCTTGTAGAAGACCACATTAAGACCCACAAGTAAACATCGAGCACAAGTCTTGCTACTTCTTAAGACTGACGGAAAACATTAGTAGTAATCCTACCATATTACTCTGCAGGTAGATAATATTATATTGTATGACCAACAACACAGAATTACAGACTTTCGTAATTACGTTTTTTTATGTCTTCTATATCTTTCAAAAGGTCGTAAAATTCCATACCACACCAATTGTCTTCACCAATTTACTAACTGTGAAAAACAGACCACAACTATTTCCCTAAGTGAGGCTTAGATGCATGAAATTGGATCAACACAATAAAAATACATGCATAGGAAAGAAATAAGCCCCAAAACCCTACCCACGTCATTGAGAAAAAATAAAAATCATTAGAAATTACAAACAACTCGAATCACTTTGAATATCGGGAGAGAAATACATCAGTGTCTTCTTGAAATCAGCTCAGCCCTCTCGCATAATAGTAACTTGTATGGGCATTCCTAAACATAAATGGAGATGCAATATTACAGTATAATCCATCTGACAATCCCAAGTGGACACCTTTATATGTTTGAACTATCTCATGCTTCATCAACTCACATTGCTACATATTAGTGGCTCTTCCTGTAGAAAAAACAGCCACAATCAAGTGATTATGCACAATTTAAATACCTGTGAAGTGTATGTTCGGAAAGAGGCACATATTTACAAACATTCTTACTCATTTCTTTTTTTTTATTTTTTTTTTTTTTTTTTTTTTTGGTGTGTGTGTTGTTTTTTTT